TTTGTTTTTTCATTAAGAGAATTGATTTAAAAAGCTGTTAAATTAAAGGTTAGAAAGTTTAGAAAGTTAGAAAGTAAAACAACAGCTAGCCAAACAGCCAGCCAAAAGCTTAGAACTATTTCTATGATAGAGATATCTCTAAATCACTCAAATCTACGCATTTTGACACCTTTCTCTTTCTGATTTCTTGATTTTTACATCAATTTCCCCAGTCATAACAAACACTTTTCTTTTCTCAAAAAAGATTTGAGTAATTTAGAGACATCTCTAGAATAGAAATAGTTCTAAGCTTTGGCTGACTGTTTGGCTGGCTGTTGTTCTCATTGAGAAGCTTTAGCTGGCTGTTCTTCTACTGTTGTTCTCATTGAAAAGCTTTAGCTGGCTGTTCTTCTACTGTTGTTCTCATTGAGAAGCTTTAGCTGGCTGTTCTTCTACTGTTGTTCTCATTGAAAAGCTTTAGCTGGCTGTTCTTCTACTGTTGTTCTCATTGAAAAGCTTTAGCTGGCTGTTCTTCTACTGTTGTTCTCATTGAGAAGCTTTAGCTGGCTGTTCTTCTACTGTTCTTCTCATTGAAAAGCTTTAGCTGACTGTTCTTCTACTGTTGTTCTCATTGAAAAGCTCATTCTTTTTTTTCCCCATTTTCCATATAGAAATCCCTTATAAACGATTGAAAAATGAAAAGAAATCGACCTTGAATCACTGTCACTTCTCACTGTCACTAGATCACCCTTTGGAAAGACTTTTTCCTTTTATTCAATTCAATTCTAGACCGTTAATCCTATTCTATTCAATTTAAATTCTTTAAATCTATTCATTGAATTTCCAGTTTCGAAGACAGCTCATCGGTTTCGAGTGGAATTTCGGAGAATTTCGAGGACGTTTCGACCGACGACGTCTCCGGAAGGTTCGTTTTTTCAAAAATTATTAATAAATTTGAATTTTTGTTGAATCTAAACCTAAACCTAAATCTAAACCCATTTTAAACTAAATCACTCAAAGTTCTCTAAGTTAGAAAAATCTCGAACAAGAAGCAAGTAATAGTTTTCCTTAAACTACAGCAAAACGACCTCTTCCTCATTTATCTCTTTGTCATTTATCAAAACACAAAAACTTATCTGTTTCGAGGAAACTCTAGAAACTGTTCATAGCTTTGTTTCTAGTCTAATAACTTGAGTTAAACTAGATCTATTACGGGTAATTGAAATCAGGAAAGCTCTTGTGCAAGCAGGAGAGGCTCAAGCTGAGGCTGAGGCTTAGGCTGAAGCTAAAGCTGAGGCTTAGGCTTAGGCTTAGGCTTAGGCTTAGGCTTAGGCTGAAGCTGGAGCTGAAGCTGGAGCTGGAGCTGGAGCTAAAGCTGAAGCTGAAGCTGGAGCTGAGGCTGGAGCTGAGGTTAAGGCTTAGACTTAGGCTGAAGCTGAAGCTGAAGCTGGAGCTGAGGTTAAGGCTTAGGCTTAGGCTGAAGCTGAGGCTTTCCGGGAAAGGAAAGCGAATGGTTATGCAAGAGTGGACATCGAAAGGGTAATATGTAGGAGAAAAGGAAAGGGAAAAGGATTGGATGATTCATTCATTGCCCATTCATCTAGCAGAGATGGGGGTGGGGGTACTCGGACTCCGGAATGGTGCCCCCCTTGTTCTCCCAAAGGACCACCCCCTCTTTCCGACTCTTTCAAGACTCCTTTTTGCCTCTTGACCCTAACCCCTAGAGTCTAAGTCTATCTTTCCCTCTCTATTCCTCTCTTTCCCTCTTTTACCTTTTTAGGGGTTGTACCCCATTTCCAAATACTCTTTCTCCGATCTCTCAGCTGATTCTAAAGCTTTGTGCCTCAATTAGTTCCCCGGTTTCCCCACACCAATTCCATTTTCTCATTTTTCTCATTTTTCCAATTTAATTCAATCAATTTCTTCTGTTATTCAATAAATAAAAAAACTCTTTAAATTCATAGATCAATCAGAATTAAGCAATCAATGAGACTTAATGAATCAATCAGAATTAATGAATGCGAGCTAGTATTGATTAGAAAATCCCGATTGATTGAATTGGCACCCTGGAAGAGGAGATAAAGCTTAGATTGAGATTTTTAGCTCTTGAATATAAGTACTCTACTTCCGAGAGTACTTGCAACAGAAATTACAGTACTTTACCGAGCTACAGTAGCTCCAGAGGTGCAGCATGCAAAGAGATATATGTATCAAAGGGCCTATTATCCTAAAGAGCTACAGTATCCATAAGAGCTACAGTATCCATAAGAGCTACAGTACCCTAAAGAGCTACAGTATCCTAAAATCTTCAAAAAATCTCCAGTTTCTCTCAAATTTTCTCAACTTTTCTCAAATTTTCCCTTTTCTTTCCTGAATAACCATTTCCTTTAGCAAATTTCTTACTTTCTTTTCCTTTTTCTTTCTATTTTCTTTCTATTTCCTTCATTCTAACAGTACAAAAAAGATTCGTTGCACTTTCGAGGATTTCTCTCTTTGATCTTCACCGATTTCTTTCAAATTTCCTTTTTTCTTTTTCTTTTTTCTTCCCAAACACGATTTTCTTTCATTTTCTTCTTCAAAAAATACTGAAAAAACGAATTTTCTATTGAAAAAATAAACTATTCTGTAAAGTTTTCCATGTTCTAATCCTGCATCTAGTTTTTAATGTAGTTTCTAATGTAGTCTAATGTCTCTCATGTAATTTCCATGCATCTAGTTTCTAATGTAGTCTCTAATCGATTAAAGTAACCATTTTACAATAGTCCACCTACCCAAATAGCTTTTTAGTTAGTACTAAAGTCCAGAAATTTCCATTTCTACATCTTTTCCCGAAAGCTAGTGTGCTAAACGATGTGTGTTTCCATTTTTGAGCACACAATGCACACACCAAAGATTTGGTACTGTATTTCCTCTAATAAACGCCCCCCCTCGACAAACTTTAGACGCTTGGTTCTCAGCTCTATTTTTAGATATGTTTATGTTTAATATACCAAAGGATAGCCCTTAATGTCTTCTATATTTTGGTATACTAAACATAAAAATAACTCAAAAGGGTACTGAGAACGAGACGTCTAAAGTTTGTCGAGAGGCAGGGGCGTTTATCGACCTCGACAAACTTTAGACGTCTCGTTCTCAGCCTTTTGAACTATTTTTATGTTTAATATACCAAAGGATAGCCCTTAATGTCTTCTATATTTTGGTATATTAAACATAAAAATAGCTCAAAAGAAGGCTGAGAACGAGACGTTTAAAGTTTGTCGAGAGGGAGGGGGCGTTTATTTGAGGAAAAACGGTAGCTCGAAAGTTTTCCATAACAATTCTTGGCCAAATTTCATAATAATTCTCAACAATTCCTCAATCTATTCAATGAAAAATCGAAAGGGCGAACGGGCAAAAGAAATTTCGCCATTTTCGCCATTTCCACCCAAGCACGGGCTTTCTTCTTTGTGTTTGAACATTGGCTTTTTTTTTTGATTTCTTTACATCACATACCCTGAATACTTTATAGATTTTATAGAAATATTATTTGTTTTAATGATTTAAAGCTTTAAAAGCTTTAAAGCTTAAGAGCTTAAGAGCTTTAAAGCTTTAAAATGAAAGCTTAAGAGCTTTAAAAGCTTTAAAATGAAAGCTTAAGAGCTTTAAAAGCTTTAAAATGAAGGCTTATTAGTTTAAGAGCTTTAAAATAAAAGCTTAAGAGCTGAAAGGCTTTAAAATAAAAGCTTAAAATCTTTCAGTTCACTATCCGATCACGCAATGACCGCCGTCACAACGTATGGAAAACTCGGCGACTATGGTCATTTTGTGAGATCAACTGGGAAAGGTAAATGGAATAAAATGTGTAAAATTATCAATTTCAAATGAGTTTCCCACTTTTTATATGAAAAAACATGTTTGAAACAACTTAAAAGCTTTAAAATGAAAGCTTAAGAGCTCTGAAGCTTTAAAATGAAAGCTTAAGAGCTATAAAGCTTTAAAATGAAAGCTTAAGAGCTCTGAAGCTTTAAAATGAAAGCTTAAGAGCTCTGAAGCTTTAAAATGAAAGCTTAAGAGCTCTAAAGCTTTAAGAATACTCTTTTGAATCGATTCAAATAAAATAAAATAAAAATATTCAATTAAAGTTGCTAAACGGCAACGGTTTTCTATAGAATTTCATAGAATTACATAGAATTTAGTTAAAAGGATAAAGGAAGGGATAAAGCATTATTTTGATTCCAATCCATAGCTTCTGATAGCTCATTGGTAGAAAGCTAGCTTCCTAAGCGAAAGATCACTGATTTGTATCCAACCACCGACCAGCCAACTCATCAATTACTGCCAAAACAAACAGAACTAGCAATCACCAAGTAATTTCCCATTTTCAGGTACTGTCCGCTCATCTTCATCAGCTATCGGCGAGCGCCGGATCCACGAGCAACACTCGATCCAGCAACTCTTGCAACAATGCCGAACAAGTCAACGGGGAGTCGCTTGTCAACCACAAGTGAGATAAGCTGGAAATCTTTTGAAGATCTTTTGAAGATCTTTTGAAAATCTTTTCAAGATCTTTTGATGATCTTTTGAAGATCAAATCTCCTTTTAAATTCTTTTAAAGATTCGTTTCAATTAAGCAAATTGGGCCATTGGGCTCTCTCTTTCAGCCAATTCATGAATAAACCACAAATTTCCCCTCTTCAACCCATCAATCTCCTTCTTGAAGTGCTCTATTTCATACAATTCTTGAGCTTTTTGTTTAGAGATTTTGTTTTAAGATAAGTTTTTAACATAAGTTTTTAGGATTAGATTTTAGGTTAACAGCTAGTGATAGTAATAGTACCTAACTAGTTTAGCTTTAGTACAATAGCTTGGCTTCAGCTAGTATTGTACTAGAGCTGGTCAACTCTGGCATTGTACTAGAGCTGGTCAACTCTGGCATTGTACTAGAGCTGGTCAACTTCAGCATTGTACTAGAGCTGATCAACTTCAGCATTGTACTAGAGCTGGTCAACTTCAGCATTGTACTAGAGCTGATCAACTTCAGCATTGTACTAGAGCTGGTCAACTCTGGCATTGTACTAGAGCTGGTCAACTTCAGCATTGTACTAGAGCTGATCAACTTCAGCATTGTACTAGAGCTGATCAACTTCAGCATTGTACTAGAGCTGGTCAACTCTGGCATTGTACTAGAGCTGGTCAACTTCAGCATTGTACTAGAGCTGATCAACTTCAGCATTGTACTAGAGATAGTCAGCTCTAGCATTGAACTAGAGATAGTCAGCTCTAGCATTGAACTAGAGATAGTCAGCTCTAGCATTGAACTAGAGATAGTCAGCTCTAGCATTGAACTAGAGATAGTCAGCTCCAGTACTGTTCTGGATCTAACAGCTGACATGATGAACCATTGTACTGGAGTTGAACTGCTAGGTTTTAACCAAGAATCTCATTCGAGAATCTTTTCGGTTTGGGATTTCGAGATTTCAAGAATCTCATCGTTTCGAGAACTATAGGATTTCGGAAACTCTAAGCAAATACTTCTTTTCCATCAGTTTCTTTCAAATCGATCATTTGATTGATGAGTTTTTTTGAGGAACATTTACTAAAGGGGATTGTTTTGGATGTGACAAAAGGAGACAGCCGCGCACCACTCCCAGATCTCAAATCTCCCTTCATTATCACACTAACAACATAACAAATCTCTAGACTTTCGATCTCTTTCTATTCTTTAGATCTAGCTGAAAAGATACCTCATCTAATAGATCGGTCATTTAGTTCTTGTAGAAGTTTTTTATTTTCTTTGATTTAATTGATTTAATTTACATCTTACACATAGCACTTACCGTAAATACTGTAATAGTACCCCATCCCCATAATGACGGTGCGGAGTGTTGTGTAGTCTAGCTTTGGACGAGTGTTTCTCGACACTGGTTTATGCTACAATGCTCGTTTAGGTATCAAAAAATAGCTGAAATTCAGGGCTATTTTTTGATACCTAAAAGGCATTGTAGCTTAAACAAGTGCCGAGAAAAACGCGTTCAAAGCTAGACTACGCAACACTCCGCACCGTCATTATGCTTTATTATGGACTATTACAGTATTTACAGTAAGTCAAAATCTCTACTTCAATCTTCGAAACTTACCCTAAATACTGTAATAGTACCGCACCCGCCATAATGACGGTGCGGAGTGTTTCGTAGTCTAGCTTTGAACGAGTGTTTCTCGACACTGGTTTATGCTACAATGCTCTTTTAGGTATCAAAAAATAGCTGAAATTCAGGGCTATTTTTTGATACCAAAGACGCATTTTTTGATACCAAAGATAATGACGGTGCGGAGTGTTGCGTAGTCTAGCTTTGAACGAGTGTTTCTCGACACTGGTTTATGCTAAAATGCTCATTTAGGTATCAAAAAATAGCTGAAATTCAGGGCTATTTTTTGATACCAAAGACGCATTTTTTGAAAGTACGGGTGCTTTGAAAAACAATGAAATACTAAAAAACTACGTGTTTCGCGTTTTGCGACTACGCGACTGTACGAGCGCGGTGGGGTACTATTACAGTATTTACGGTAGCAATTATTGAGGCTTTTGAAATAGTTAAAAACAATCATAAATCAATAGATTCTCTTATTAAACGTCTAAATTTCAGTATCAAACAATCAGCGGTGTGCCACAACTCTCATTGTCATCCGACGGTGAAACACTTTCAATTCAAGCTCGATCATCGCTACGAGTCACTCCAAAAAGACAAGATCGACCTGGGATCTCGACAAACGGTTTTCATTCACTTGATCGAAAGTTTCACCTTGGAGAGATCTATCAGAAACATCAGGAACGAGAGGAGCAACGGTAGGAGCATCAACACAACTAAACTCTGCTAAACACACACCTTCTAGTGCACTTGATTCTTTATTGCTTTCTTCCAGAAATGCTTTTGTTTCTAGTAAAAAGGAAGAAACAAAAAGTGCGCTAGAAAAGGTGTGTTTTAATTGAGTTTTTCAAGTAACTCCTCTAAGGAGACAGCCGATGAGTCACTGCCTAAGCCTAAGCCTAAGTCTAAGCCTGAGCCTAGGCATAAGCCTAAGCCTAAGCCTGTACCTAGGCCTGAGCCTAAGCCTAAGCCTGTACCTAAGCCTAAGCCTAAGCCTAAGCCTAAGCCTAAGCCTAAGCCTAAGTCTAAGCCTGAGCCTAGGCATAAGCCTAAGCCTAAGCCTGTACCTAGGCCTGAGCCTAAGCCTAAGCCTGTACCTAAGCCTAAGCCTAAGCCTAAACCTAAGCGTGCTCGCGCGTTTACCCTAACTCAACTACTGTATGCCAGGCAAAGACTAGGTGATTAGGTGATTACGTAGATGGTTACGTAGATTATTACGTAGATGATTACGTAGATGGTTACGTAGGTGATTACGGTAGTCGAAGAGGTAAGCCAAGAAACGGGCCACATTTTACAAGGGTTTACGGTAGTCGGTGTGTTGAAAAAGTCAAAAACTACATAAATCTCATCTCAGCATGGGCGTCTATGACGAGCGATCAACGATGGCTCTGATCTCGCCCCGAAGAATCCCCCCAAGAATCCCAGCAGCACAATCGACACAGTGTATCAGGTAACATTTCAATCAAGCTCTCTATGTCCTTCCTTTCTCACTAACCAATCCAATCTCGGTTGCACGGTGTGATTTCTTTGGTTTTTTTTTCTTCTTCTTCCTCTGTTTACTTCCTCTGTCGCTAAATAACACCAAATGATAGTTTAAAGTCGGCTTCAAAATCTAACATTCAAAGCTAAGATTCAAGCTAAGATTCAAGCTAACATTCAAAGCTAACATTCAAAGCTAAGGTTCAAAGCTAAGATTCAAGCTAAGATTCGAGCTAAGATTCAAAGCTAAGATTCGAGCTAAGATTCAAGCTAACATTCAAGCTAAGATTCAAGCTAAGATTCAAGCTAAGATTCGAGCTAAGATTCAAAGCTAAGATTCGAGCTAAGATTCAAGCTAACATTCAAGCTAAGATTCAAGCTAAGATTCAAGCTAAGATTCAAGCTAACATTCAAAGCTAACATTCAAAGCTAAGGTTCAAAGCTAAGATTCAAGCTAAGATTCGAGCTAAGATTCAAAGCTAAGATTCGAGCTAAGATTCAAGCTAACATTCAAGCTAAGATTCAAGCTAAGATTCAAGCTAAGATTCGAGCTAAGATTCAAAGCTAAGATTCGAGCTAAGATTCAAGCTAACATTCAAGCTAAGATTCAAGCTAAGATTCAAGCTAAGATTCAAAGCTAAGATTCAAGCTAAGATTCAAGCTAAGATTCAAAGCTAAGATTCAAGCTAAGATTCAAGCTAAGATTCGAGCTAAGATTCAAGCTAAGATTCAAAGCTAAGATTCAAGCTAAGATTCAAAGCTAAGATTCAAGCTAAGATTCAAGCTAAGATTCGAGCTAAGATTCAAGCTAAGATTCAAAGCTAAGATTCAAGCTAAGATTCGAGCTAAGATTCAAGCTAAGATTCGAGCTAAGATTCAAAGCTAAGATTCAAAAGCTTGATAAGCTTGATAAGCTTAATGTTTTTAAATCTAAAACACCTTGAGTTATGAACCTGACTTATTCAAATCTGATAATAGAGAAATGTCAAAGAAAAATTTTAGGAGAAGGAATTGAACCTTTTTACTTTGTACTTATTTACTTTTCGAGCAAATGCTCTAACCACTAAGCTATTCGAGATCTTTTTTGCGAGAGAAGAAAGAGGAAATACAAAGGATAGAGGAAATACCCAAATAAGTTCATGTAATCAAGTCTAAGTTAGATAAGCCCAGAATCCAGAGGTTAAACTCAGCTTACAAAGCTTACAAAGCAGCTTTGATAAAGTTTAGAAGCCTTAGAACCTGTGAGCCAGCTCTAGGTCAGCTCTAGCATTGTACTAGAGGTGGACAGCTCTAGCATTGTACTAGAGTTCGTCAGCTCATGCTCTGGCTTTAGTCTAGATCACTAACAGACTCTATAGTACAATTCATAAGCCTAATAAACAGCCTACCAATTAGCTAACTAATAACGTTCATCCGTCTCTCTGTTTTCAAAAACAACCCTTTCTACAGTACTTTCACTAACACCGACCGCTTTTTCTAGCAATAATGCAACTCTCCTCGTTCGGCATGTCGAAATCGATGGTTCTCTATGATCCGCTAGCGCCCAACTCACCGCGTGTCCATCGGAAAGCGACAGACTCAAGAACAGTGATTGGCACCGCATCGAATTCGGAGTACGGTAGCCCGCGGAGTGCTCATCACTATCGTCATCGTCCTCCACCACCAGTTCGAGGCTCGAGCCCTCATTCTGCCCGTCTGCCACTCTCCGTCGCCTCACCACAGCATAACGGTCCGCTTATTAAGATTATGAAATGATTTTCACTCAAGACATGGGTATAAGTGGGTAACGAACAAGTATTACAGTAAGATTTGGGTCCCTTTGGCTACAGGATTCCGAGATCTAGCTACAGTAGTCTCTGGATAACTACAGTATCCCAAATTGCTCCCTTTTGCTATGATATGCGGGAGTAAAATTTTTCGGTACACTACGGCACCCGTCGAATACAGCAGCCCAACGTATAGTAGATATATTTGGGATTACAGTACTCCGGATTCCCTTAGATATTATCAAGTTACTCTACACTACCCCAGGATCGTAGACAAGAGTCTACAGTACACAAAAGGAGTACAGAATTCTGCATAGTACTCAGGATTCTTTAAATATTGTAAGCTACACGAGTTACAGAACCCCTAGAGGAGTTACAGAACCTCTAGACAAGTTACAGTATCTCTAGACAAGTTACAGTACCCCTAGACGAGTTACAGTATCTCTAGACAAGTTACAGTACCCCTAGACAAGTTACAGTATCTCTAGACAAGTTACAGTACCCCTAGACAAGTTACAGTATCTCTAGACAAGTTACAGTACCCCTAGACAAGTTACAGTATCTCTAGACGAATTACAGTACCTCTAGACAAGTTACAGTACCCCTAGACGAGTTACAGTATCTCTAGACAAGTTACAGTACCCTTAGAATCCAAAAACTTGTACCCATGTCTTCGGCTTTCTTTCAAACGATTGCTTTAACTTTCTCAAACACTCTGTTGCTTTTTCTTTCGCTTTGCTTACTAATAAGTTGAAAATATATTTAAAAACTAATTACAAATACTGTATTTATCAAATTCTTTAGCTATTTACCCATTTCAGGATCTTTATACGCTCGTCGGACTCCAGAAGCAGTGTACGCGAATTTTCGTGGTGATGCACTGCATCGAATACCCGATGAGATCACGATGTACGTTGAAAAGATGAAAGTACACATAGTACTATGTACAAGAGATCTATCAAAGCTAGAAGTAGCCTAGAAGTAGCCTAGAAGAAGCCTAGAAGTAAGATCACTTCTAGACACGGCTATGGTAGTCTCTAGTCAAAGGATAGTACTCGAAATTGTAGAGAACCTTTGTTGTAGAGAACCTGAGTACACTGCAGTACTTTAGTACACTACAGTACCCGATTAGCGTACTGTATCCCTGCATTATCCCTAGTGGATAATTATAATTGATTAATAATTATTTAATTCTATGCTCAGGTCCCCATCTCATCGAGAAAAGGGTTCACCATCGGATTTTCGAGGCTCGAATCTATCAGTTGCTTCATCGACAGCTTATAATTCGGTAAATCTAAAGCTTTAATAGAATGAGATCATGCAAATCAAGAGATTCAATATCAAGAGATTCAAGATCAAGAGCTTTCTTTTAGTTAGCCGAGAAATATGAGGCCGAGTTGCGAAAACTGAATCGAGAGCTTGATGGCTATCGCAAAACGGTGAACAAGTTGACGAGAAAGCAAGAGGATTACTCGCAAATTGCTGAAATGGTTGATCAACGTTTGTCGCATTTGGGAAACAAAATGGAGAAAGCGCAGCTAAAGGTGAGTGATGGGGAAAGCTCAAGGAATTTGCAATAACTTGAAGTGGTGATCAGGGCTAGCTAAGAGTTTGTGTCTTTGTTATATCCACTGTTTGACAGCAAGCAGGATGGCTGCTAGAAAAAGCCTATTGTCTGCTACAATCAGCCTAAAGATTGTCTGCTACAAAGCCTAAAGATTGCCTGCTACAATCAGCCTATTGCCTGCCACAAAGCCTAAAGATTGCCTGCTACAATCAGCCTATTGCCTGCCACAAAGCCTAAAGATTGCCTGCTACAATCAGCCTATTGCCTGCCACAAAGCCTAAAGATTGCCTGCTACAATCAGCCTATTGCCTGCCACAAAGCCTAAAGATTGCCTGCTACAATCAGCCTATTGCCCGCTATAATCAGCCTAGAGATTCTCTGCTACCATAAGCCTGCTACAAAAAGCCTATTGTCTGCTACAATCAGCCTAAATTGTCCTAAACTTACTGTCTTGTTTATCTAGTTGACATTGGTTTACTTGACAGTTGTTAACTCTTGTAAACCTGTAGAAAAATTCGTAAACTGGTTGAAATAGAGTATTGGATTCAATACTGAACTGTCAGGAATCAAAAATTGGCACCAGATCCAGCAAAAACCAAGCTAAACATCGATCCTAACAGACTTTTAATTGCTTTGACCTGGCTAGACTTGTTTTAGCTCAAGCTTGAGCTTGAGCTTGAGCTTGAGCTTGAGCTTGAGCTTGAGCTTGAGCTTGAGCTTGAGCTTGAGCTTGAGCTTGAGCTTGAGCTTGAGCTTGAGCTTGAGCTTGAGCTTGAGCTTGAGCTGTAAAAGCTCAAGTTGAATTCTATTTTTTGAAGATTTTACTTTAAAAGACTTGAAAAGAGCAAAAATTAATCTAAAATTAATCTAAAATTATCTAATATTATCTAATATAATCTTTATGAACTATGCAAAATGGTTAGTGAAGGGAAATTGATGGCCACAGAGGCCAAAATGAGTCCACAGAGGCCAATCAATCCTTCACGAATGGACGGGAAAAGCCAGAAAAGTCAAGAGTGAATTCTCGATTTGGGAATTGGAAATGACTCTTTGAGTTCTCTCTTTACTCCCCACCCAATTTCTCTGTCATTGCGCGAAAGATAAATTGACGAATTGATGGAGAAAGAGGCAGAACTGGCACCATTTTTCAATTCTCAACTCTAGTTGAATTCCAAAAAATTCAATAAACAATTGAAAGCAAATAAATAATTCAAATAAACAAATCAAATTAAAGAAACGATTCAAATAAACAAATCAAATTAAAGAAACGATTAAAATAAACAATTCAAATCAAATAAACAAATCAAATAAACAATTCAAATAAACAAATCAAATCAAATAAACAAATCAAACAAACAAATCAAATAAACAATTCAAATAAACAATTCAAATAAACAAATCAAATACACAAATAAAATTAAAGAAACAATTCAAATCAAATAGACAACTTTTGAGTTTAACTAGTGAAAAACTCAAGTAATCTGTTTCCTAAAGTACTCTAAAGTACTCTAAAGTACTCGAAAGTACTCTAAAGTACTCTAAAGTACTCGAAAGTACTCTAAAGTACTCTAAAGTACTCGAAAGTACTCTAAAGTACTCTAAAGTACTCTAACAAAAACAAAGAAATTCTCAAAAACAATTTTTAGCCCCAAGAACTCGCGAAACTCAAACAAGAGATCGAGAATTTGCGCAATCTCAGCGCTCGTCTCTCAGCTGACTCGAAAAAGGTAAGAATTGGATAAAAAAGCAGAAAATTGATAGGAATTCGGGGATTCTAAATGATGCTTATGGCTAACTCTAATCAGGCATCCTAAATACTAAAGCTCTTGACTAGCATTTTCAATGGATAGCCGTGCTTTAAGGGCTCATAACTTTGCCTAAGCATAATATTATTCTGGACTTTTTATATCGTTGAAAAGAGGAGATTTCAGGCTTTTGAATGACACTAGATATGGTCTGATTCGACTAAAAGATCTAGGGAAAATTGATCTCAAAAATTGATCCAAAAAATTTATGAAACGCTTGATTTTGGCTCTTAATCTTTGGGCTTCTTTCAATCAAATCATACTCTTTTTAGTATCATTTGAAAGCCTAAAATTTCCTCTTTTCAACAATATAAAAAGCTAAGACTAATACAAGTTCTAAGCAAAGTTATGGGCTCTCAAAGTAGGGGCAAAGTTATCGTAAAAACTCTGCCCAATTTTTGAGATCAATTTTTTCTATGATATTTTAATCAAATCAGGCCAGGTCTAGTATCATTCGAAAGCCTAAAATCTTCTCTTTTCAACAATACAAAAAGTTCAGAATGATATTGTCTCTAAATGAATTTATGAGTCTTTAAAGTAAGGTGAAAATTTTCAGGAGGGAGCTGGCGAGCTGTTGCGTCATCCATCGTTGGAAAGTGTCGCCTCACATCGGTAAGTTTTCTAAAAAGCATTAGAAGTACCGTAAACTTTTCAACTTGTCTAGTTTCTTTTATTATTTAATTATCTAGAAATCTAGATCTCTAGATATTAAGATATTAAGATATCAAGTTTTTTTTCTCTAAACATCCCAGGATCGTACTTTGTGCTTTCTCGTACACTAAACGAATGCTAACGAATGCTATTTCGCTAGAAAGCGTATAAAGTAAGCTAGTTAACTACGCCCATTACTAATTACAGTCATAAAAATCTAAATCAATCGTTAAAATCGTTAAAATCGTTAAAATCGTTCTTTTTTTAAGCTCATCAATGTCTTCATCATCGAAAAGTTCAAAAACCGACAAAAGCTCGTTGAACAGCTTCAACAGCAAGGGGAAAAAGAGCTGGGTAAGTGCAAAAAGTCTCTATTCTATTGAATACTATCTTTTCTCATCTAATTTCTTCTAAACTTTATTCAAATCAACATCAAAAAATCATCAAAAATCACATTCAGGTGCCCGGAATGGACATTCAGGTAAAATAAAGTCGTTTGTGAAAGCGTTCATTCGTTTTGTGATTCGTTTTTCTTTTATTTTAAAAAGAAACCCAGCTTTCTCTAGCTACAGTATGCTAAAGATTAGCTAAATTAGATAACCAGCTTTCGAAATGATGCCTAATTTAGGGAATACAGAAGTCTCTAGACAATGATAGTACCCGAAATTGTACAGAAACCTTTCGCTGAGTACACTGCAGTACTTTAGTACACTGTAGTACTTTAGTACACTACAGTCCTTTAGTACACTGTAGTACCTTAGTACACTGCAGTCCTTTAGAACACTGCAGTACTTTAGTACACTACAGTGCCCGATTAGAGGAAACATTTCCTTAAAGGAAACCAGTTTTCTCTAGCTACAGTATGCTAAAGGGTTTAGCTAAGTGATTTTTAGTTTAGCTTTTCTAAATGATACCTAATTTAGGGAAAAGTTAACCTAAACTTTTCTTAGATTTCAGCTCTGTAGCTAGATTGACTGTGGTTTGAATTTAAATGGAAAGTTGAATAGAAATTGAATGGAAATTGAATAGAAATTGAATAGAAATTGAATGAAAATTTTGATTTAAATGGAAAGTTGAATGGAAAATGAATGAAAATTTGATTTGAGTGAATATTTGAATGCACAGATTACTGTAATATCTTCTACGAAAGCTCTTCTCTGACATTCACAAGTGTCTAGAAAGTGTCCGAAACTTTTAGAGCAATTTTCCCCTAGATCTTTTAGTTGAATAAGGCCATGTCTAGTATTGTTCAAAAGCCTGAAATCTCCTCTTTTCAATGATATAAAAAGCTAAGACAAATATAAGTTCTAAGCAAAGTTATGAGCTCTCAAAGTGGGAGCAAATTTATCCCGGGGTCCCTGCCCAAATTTTTGAGATCAATTTTCCCTGTGATCTTTTAGTCGAATCAGAAATAATATTATCCTTAACTTTTTATATCATTAAATAGAGGAGATTTCAGGCTTTCAAATGATACCAAAAAGAGTATGATTCGATTGAAAAAAAGCCCAAAAATCAGGCCCCGAAAATCAGCCTTTTAGTATCACTACTCAAATTTTTTAGATCAATTTTCCCTATGATTTCCCAGTCAAATCAAGCTCATTTTAGTATCATTCGAAAGCTTGAAATCTCCTCTTTCCAACGACATAAAGAGTTAAGAATAATATAATCCCTAGACAAAGTTATAAGCTCTCGAAGCCAACCAGTCAAACGAACCAGTAAACTGATATCATTCGAAGGCCTCAAATCTCCTCTATTCAACGATAAATACCAAATTCAACGGTAAATACCGATTTCAATTCCAAATTCCAGATCCGAAGCTCTTTTTCGAAGGCGTTTACGAGAAAGAAAAACTCGAAAAACGGCGGTTTATCGGATTCGGACGGATCGCCGATGCATCACCCGTTAAACACGATAAACGCGTCGAATTCAAAGTAAATTTATTTAATAATACAGTAATTACGATAATCAATTGATCGATTAACGTTGCTGATGCATGATGATGCTCTTTCCCTGTTATTTACGATCATTTGTTCTTAATAAAGAAAATCTTAGAGAAAAGAAAAGCGATCAATTATTAGCGAAATTAGCGAAATTAGCGAAATTTCGCAGTTCCTGGCAGAAAAATGCTACTATTAGAGAGAAAATGATAGATGCATTGAATCAGAATCGAGAAGGAACGATGGGAAACTAGAAATCGACGATAGAAATCGATAGAAATCGATAGAAATCGATAGAAATTGATAGAAATCGACTTTTTATTATGTAGTAGAGTAATAAGTCATTCAATACTTTAATTAGCATTTAGTTTCTTTATTTAACATCCAAATTTCAGTCTTAATGAGCTGGGCTCTGTGGCAACAGTGGTCGAGCTAAAGCGACAACTTCAGGACAGAGATCATACATTGACTGATGTAAGAAGAGGCTTTATAGCTGGCTTTATAGCTTTATAGCTGACTTTATAGCTGACTTTATAGCTGGCTTTATAGCTGGCTTTATAGCTGGCTTTATAGCTGGCTTTATAGCTGACTTTATAGCTGGCTTGATAGCTTTATAGCTGGCTTTATAGCTGGCTTTATAGCTGGCTTTATAGCTTTATAGCTGGCTTTATAGCTTTATAGCTGGCTTTATAGCTTTATAGCTGACTTTATAGCTGGTTTTATAGCTGGCTTTATAGCTGGCTTTATAGCTGGCTTTATAGCTGGCTTTATAGCTTTATAGCTGGCTTTATAGCTTTATAAATGCTTTATAGCGATTTATCTATCTCTAAAGGTCATTTCAATATAAAAACTTTTCTTAGGTTCGACTTGATGCTCTTGATTGTGCTCGTGAAGTGGACCAGTTACGAGAGACGGTCAATCGGCTTAAGGTCAGGGTTGCTTCGAATTAAACCTTTCAAAACGCTTGTAATGGTAGAATAAAAGGATTTAGCATGAGAATAAACAACTTCGAGCTGATATGTCGCGATTGGTGTACACAGGACGCTCTCGTACCTCATCGAAATCCTCTCTACTCGATGATGAACACCTCTACGAGCACTTACAAACTGATCGATCGACTAGCTCGAGTAGTAAACGTCAGTTAGATCTATTAGATCTATTAGAACGATTTATTGATTCTACTTTTAAGCTATAAAAATTAGAAATCGATTCTAGGATCATCTGGTTGTCAAAATTCGGTGAAAGTCGTTGTCAATGTTGATTTGACTGGTTCAATTCCGATTGCTGTTTGTCCTGAGCACGAGATAACGATTGGATATTTGAGTAAGTTAAAGTTTAACTGTTTAGCTTCTTCCTTTCTTCTTCCTTTCTTCTTCCGCCTTATCTTCCCTCTTTCTCTTGTCAAGCTAAGGCACCAAATAGCTCAATGGTTAAAGCAATTTTTCCTTTTCATTTCTTTCTTCTTTTCTCTAGAGTTTCTTTCTTTCTTTCTTCCTTTCTTCTTCCTTTTCTCTTCCTTTTCTCTTCCTTTCTTCTTCCTTTCTTCTTCCGCCTTATTTTCCTTCTTTCTGTTGTCAAGTTAAGATACCGAATAGCTTAACTGGTTAGAGCAATAGAGGTCATAACTTTACATGGATACCGTATTTTCTCTAATAGTAGTGCACCCCAGCAAGCCGAGTTGATGACGATTTTACGGTTTCCAAGCTTTTGCAGAAGCTCAACACTCAAATCCTTTATTAGATCTCATCGTCACCTACATTTTCCGATCCCACATCGATAGGTTCTAATAAGCGGTTCTCGAGATTTCAAGGAATTTAGGCAATGCTTAGGGTTGGTTGGAGTTGGAGCCGAGTATTTTACACTTTTAAAGCTTTCACAGAAGCTCAACACTCAAATCCTTTACTAGATCTCATCGTCAGCTAGATTTTCCGACCCACATCGATAGGTTCTAATAAGTGGTTCTCGAGATTTCAAGGAATTTAGGCAATGCTCAAGCTAACTACTATTAGAGAAAATACGGTAACAAACTTCGATACAAAAAATTTGAAATTCTAAAACGTGATCAAAATTTCTGCGTAGCCGCCCCAGTCAAATGCAATCAGTGACCGTCTATGGCACGTTTTAGGTTCATTATATCGATGCTAACTATATAAAGGGTGCTTTTCAATCACTGGAATATACTGATGGCCTAGTGGATAGTGTAACGGCCTCTCGGTCGTATGGTCGCGCTTCGATCCCCTTCGACTTTCAAAGCTTTCACAGAAGCTCAATACTCAAATCCTTTATTAGATCTCATCGTCACCTACCTTTTTCCGACACACACATCGATAGGTTCTGATAAGCGGTTCTCGAGATCTCAAGGGAATTTAGGCAATGCTCAAGCTAACTACTATTAGAGAAAATACGGTATTAAATTTGAAGCTGATTTTTGTTTTATTCGATACGAAATTTTATTCTGAATCAAATGAGAATCAAAATAGATAAAATAGAAAAGTTGATGTGGAGAAAAAGACAAAAAAAAAAGGTAACGGAAAAAGATAAAATCTCATTTTGCAGCTCTACCCGAGCGAGAGACTCGCTGGGATCAACTTGACGCGCAAATTTATGCTCTTTTCGATGTAAGTTGCCTAAACAAGGAACGATATTGTTACAGTGTTTAGCTACAGTAATCCAGCTACAGCTACAGATACAGTAATCCAATCCAAACCAATTATCTTAGGCTTACCTCTGTCGAATCGATCCCGATCACCACCTTGGATTGCATTGCTCGGAGAGTGTCATCGGCTACACGATTGGGAAAATTAGTAGGGGTACTGGAAATGAGAAATATTGCTTTATAGCTAAGATTATAGGTTTTATTAGGTTTTATTAGGTTTTATTAGCTTTGATTAGCTTTCATTAGCTTTTATTGGCTTTGATTAGCTTTTATTAGCTTTTATTAGCTTTTATTAGCTTTTATTAGCTTTTATTAGCTTTCATTAGCTTTCATTAGCTTTCATTAGCTTTCATTAGCTTTGATTAGCTTTGATTAGCTTTTATTAGCTTTAAATTAGCTTTTATTGGCTTTGATTAGCTTTTATTAGATTTCATTAGCTTTCATTAGCTTTCATTAGCTTTTATTAGCTTTATTAACTTTTATTAGCTTTTATTAGCTTTGATTAGCTTTGATTAGCTTTGATTAGCTTTGATTACCTTTGATTAGCTTTGATTAACTGAATATCTTTTAGAACGTGGCTCAAAAGAGTCCTCGATTCCGCCCTCACAAGTCATCACAACAACAACGACGATTCGGCTTTTTTTGAGAGGTAAACCTTTAAATAAATAGAGATTTGTAGATAATTATCTAAATATTATCTGTACTTTTGAATATTGAACTCTGAAATTGTTCTTTTCTGTTAGCCAGGTCAAAGAAGACAGAACAAAGCTCGTATAACTCTGGCATGGTTTTCGTTTCTTTCGAAAGCTCAATACTATTAGATTTATTAGTTACTGGAAATAGAAAGCTATAGTTTACAGTAGTTACAGTACAAGTAGCTACAGTTTACAGTAGTTACAGTAAATAGAAAGCTACAGTTTACAGTAGTTACAGTAAGCAGAAAGCTACAGTTTACAGTAGTCACAGTACAAGTAGCTACAGTTTACGGTAGTTACATTAGCTTTGTAATAGTTACATTTGTAAACATTAGCTTTCTATTTACAGTAGTTACAGAATAGAAAGCTAATGTTTACAGTAGTTACAGGAAAGTAAACATCTGAAAGTTCTAAAGTTCTAAATCCATTCTCAAGAATCCCCTCATCCTTAGCCTTCTCCAATCGACTCTCTAGCTATTTCAATCAATTTCCAGAGTCACTATTGCATAGCGCTTAAAGACATTACAAAAAACTGAATATTTGATAACATTATAGTATAAAAACTATAAATAAAACTATAAAAGAAACTATGGAACAAACTATAGAACAAACTATAAAAGAAACTATAAAAGAAACTATAAAACAAACTATACCACAAACTATAAAACAAACTATACAACAAACTATAAAACAAACTATACAACAAACTATAAAACAAACTATAAAACAAACTATACAACAAACTATAAAACAAACTATACAACAAACTATAAAACAAAGTACAAAACAAACTATAAAGCAAACTATAAAGCAAGCTATAAAACAAACTATAAAGCAACCTATAAATAAAACTATAAAACAAACTATAAAGCAACCTATAAATAAAACTATAAAACAAACTATAAAGCAACCTATAAATAAAACTATAAAACAAACTACAAAACAACCTATAAAACAAACTACAAAACAAACTATACAACAAACTATAAAACAAACAATCTGATATGATCATGATATAAAAACTCTAAATTCTGTCATATTTGAATCCCTTTAGGCGCCTGTCAATCAGCTGTGGATTCCCTGATTCTTGAGTGCCTCTTCCCGCGCTCACTTCTCGATCAACTCTTGAAGCACATCGTCACCCATCGACGACTCGTTCTCTCTGGAGCAACTGGTCAGACATTAAAGAGTGGAAAATTCACACCTTTAATTCACACCTTCATATAAGAAAATCATTTACAAGCTTATTTTTGATCAGCTTAAATAGAGGATCAAAAAATTCGTCTTAAAAAACTTCATTGAAACTTTTTTTAAAGTACTTGATTCGGATTTTGACTTTTTTTAGGACAAGATGAAGATAGAAGACTTCAAAAAGTACAATTAAATAAAGAATTAAATAAAGAATTTTATTTTCTTTAACTTAGAATCAAAGTTCTAATAGGTAAATCATTAAAAAAATGAGAAAAACTAGAGAAAACTTTTTATTTTCATTAATTCTCATCAAAAAATCAACTTTAAAGTCATTTCTATTGATTAATTTATTAATTTAGAGTAATAGAATCTATTTTATAAAGTAAAATATTCTTTTTTAAGGCTTTTAAGGCTTTTTAAAGGCTTTTTAAGGCTTTTAAAGCTTTTTTTAAGGCTTTTAAAGCTTTTTTTAAGGCTTTAAAAGCTTTTTTTTAAGGCTTTAAAAGCTTTAAAAGCCTTTATTCTTTATTCTTTTTTAAGGCTTTTAAGGCTTTTTTAAGGCTTTTAAAAGCTTTAAAAGCCTTTAAAGCTTTTTTTAAAGCTTTTTAAGCTTTTTAAGCTAAAATCCACCTTTTCTAGGGATTGGAAAGTCGAATTTGGCTCGTCAACTTTGTGCTTATCTCTCGATTCGAGCTGGTCGTGCGCCGGATTCAGTGATCGAGGTCAAAATTCCCGATGATGGCAAAGATAAACAACTTGTGCAAGTATGTAAAAACATTATTAAATCTATAAATTGATTGTTGTTCCCAGGTGGAAAGAGATCTTGAGAAAGCTTTACGAGGCTCCGATTCCGTGCTTCTTCTTGACAACATTCCCAAGTCAAGGATATCCTTTGTTTCCTCGGTTTTTGACTCGATTCAACTCTCGACAGAGCAGGTATTTATTAGAGATTAAAGTCAGGTAAAAGCCTTTAAAACTACTGTAACTGTAAGCAACTAGGGTAAAGGCACGAGTTTTTTTGTGAGCTTTCTTTTCTGGATTACATTTAAATCTTACTAAATCGAGTATGGGGATTCATGATCTGAAATCAAAAGCTGTCAAATAAGCTTGCAAAGGCGTAAAGATTAAATTGAAATTTCGAAACCTTAAAGAACTTTCAAGAATTGAAGAAAATTGAAGTAAACGATTGAAGCTTTAAAGAGCGCTTTTCAATGATTGCAATCTATTGGGTTGGGGAGAATGAGTCGGCGCCGAAAATCAAAAAAATGTCTAAAACTTCTATTCGACTTCGTCAAATAATATGCGTTTGATATGAGTAGAATGGTTAACTAATTCTCTACAAAATGACATTTAAAAGAAAACTCAAACATCGTCTCAGCTCAAGAAAAGGTCATCTTTCCACAAAAACTACAAACTGTCATCTAGAAAAAACCATTGGTGGGATCTTCCTGCAAATTTGGCAACTTAAGTAATTGAATGTGCTCTATCTTTTTTATATAAACACCAAAGAAGGTTTATGTGAAAGAAACTGTTCAAATGGATGAGTCGGACTCTTTGCCATTTTGACTAGCTGTGTTTGGGAGTCCATAAACTCCACGAAAGAAAAGCTTTGTGGAATCTCTCAAAAGTGATTTTGTAGAGAAATAGTGGATCCTTTTGATGAAACCAAACGTATGTTTAAAGAAGGCTTTATGTGTGCAAAAAGTCCCTTTAAAGTTTGGCGCCGAGTCATAGTCCCCAACCCAATATGCACTGCTGGTCTCGTGGATAGTGGAACGGCCTCTTCCTTATCTCTCTAAATTTGATTCCTTATCTCTCTAAATTTGGTTCCTTATCTCTCTAAATTTGATTCCTTGTCTCTAGGTCAAGGGATCGGGGTTCGATCCTTCGCTTGGTTTTTGAGTTTTTTTTTTTCTTTAGATTTAATACTTTACCTTGTAACTATTCAATAGAACTATAAAGAAAAAGGTTAAATGTTAACATTTATGAAAGGAGAACGATACTTTACAGGTTTTTACCCGTTCTGCTCATTGTAACCTAAATCTTTAAAGTTTTGAAACTCGAATTTAATCTTTACGCCTTTGCAAGCATATTTGACAGCTTTTGATTTCAGCTTATGAATCTCAATACTCGATTTTGTAAGATTTATATAATCTGGAAGCTCACAAAAAGTTTTTACCTTTACCAGAAAGTGTCAATTCGAAAGTCAAGCAAGTCAAGCAGAAAGTGTCAATTCGTAATATGATCGATTTCCCATTTCCAGGGCCCTTACATCATTTGCACAATCAATCGCGCTTGTCAACTCTCGGAAATGCAAATGCAACTACAGCACAATTTCAAGATTTTCCTTTTAACGAACAAAATGGAAGCAGTAAATGGATATATGGCAAGGTAAAGGAAAAGGAAAAGGAAAAGGAAAAGGAAAAGAAAAGGAAAAGGAAAAGGAAAAGGAAAAGGAAAAGGAAAAGGAAAAGGAAAAGGAAAAGGAAAAGGAAAAGGAAAAGGAAAAAGAAAAGCTCGTTACGGTATCGATAAGTAAAATAACTCAATTCAAAATTCCCATGACTAATCTTTACTCGATTAGGTCGATTTTGATCGATAGCTATTAACTACGAGTAATCGTTTTTAGACGTCAAGTAAATTAGTATTCACTTGTGACGATGAGACCTAGTGATTTGAGTGTTGAGCTTCTGTGGAAGCTTTGAAACTGTAAAATAGTCACCAACTCGGCTAGGCGGGGAAAATACTATCAGAGAAAATACGATATCTTTACTTGCGAAGGGAATTTACGACCAAATCACTTGAACGGTTGACTATCTTTAAAACGAGTCGTATATAAAGCGATTCAAAGATTCGGACACTTTCTAGACACTTGTGAATGTCAGAAAAGAGCTTTCGTAGAAGAAATTGCAGTAAACTGTTCAAAGATTTACGCTCATACCATAAAACTTCTAATCTACTACTTCTAATCTACGTAAATGTACGTCTATTTATCGTCAATTTCAAAACATCCAATAGAGAATGAATGTTTGCCGAGTTTCTATGATTTTGGACTACTAAAAAGGACTTTCTAAACCCTATACTGTTAGCTCTAAACCTATACTGTTTGCTGGAAAAGTAGTTGAAGTTTTTGTAGATTGTTGATTATATAGATTGTTGATTATATAGATTGTTGATTATATAGTTTTGTTCATTTTCTAGATATCTTCGCCGAAGAATCATCGACACTGAATACCGAACGAATCGGGTAATCCCAACAGAAATTCAGCGAATCGTTGACTTCTTCTCGATTGTTCTTTCAGCAATCAACGAGTTCATTGAGCGGGTTGGTTTTAAATCTAGAACATTATTAGGCTTTAAGCTTTAAAGGTAAATCAGTTTGACTAGTTTAACTAGTCAAAGCAGTTTAATCAATCAATCAGATTAACTAGTTCAATCAGTTTAACCAGGTCAATCAGTTTAACTAGTTCATTCAGAACTAGTTCAATCAGCCTAACTAGTTCAATCAGCCTAACTAGTTCATTCAGTTTAACTAGTTCAATCAGTTTAACTAGTTCAATCAGTTTAACTAGTTCAATCAGTTTAACTAGTTCAATCAGTTTAACTATTGGGTTGGGGACTATGACTCGGCGCCAAACTTTAAAGGGACTTTTTGCACACATAAAGCCTTCTTTAAACATACGTTTGGTTTCATCAAAAGGATCCACTATTTCTCTACAAAATCACTTTTGAGAGATTCCACAAAGCTTTTCTTTCGTGGAGTTTATGGACTCCCAAACACAGCTAGTCAAAATGGCAAAGAGTCCGACTCATCCATTTGAACAGTTTCTTTCACATAAACCTTCTTTGGTGTTTATATAAAAAAGATAGAGCACATTCAATTACTTAAGTTGCCAAATTTGCAGGAAGATCCCACCAATGGTTTTTTCTAGATCACAGTTTGTAGTTTTTGTGAAAAAATGGCTTTTTCTTGAGCGGAGGCGCTGTTTGAATTTTCTTTTAAATGTCATTTTGTAGAGAATTAGTTAACCATTCTACTCATATCAAACGCATATTATTTGACGAAGTCGAATAGAAGTTTTAGACATTTTTTTGATTTTCGGCGCCGAGTCATAGTTCCCAACCCAATAGTTCATTCAGAACTAGTTCAATCAGTTTAACTAGTTCATTCAGAACTAGTTCAATCAGCCTAACTAGTTCAATCAGTTTAACTAGTTCATTCAGAACTAGTTCAATCAGCCTAACTAGTTCATTCAGTTTAACTAGTTCAATCAGTTTAACTAGTTCATTCAGTTTAACTAGTTCAATCAGTTTAACCAGGTCAATCAGTTTGAGGTCAATCAGACTAGCTCAATCAATTTAACTAGTTAAATAAGGCAAAGGTTTCAATGCAGCTAATAACCATTACACCATTTTTCGAAAAGTTGTAAAAGTTTTGGTAGCTACCAAACGCTTTACCCATTACCAAAGTACTAACTGTTCGACAGAAACATAAAGCCCTTAATCTTGGCTACATTTTTCTATAAAACCTTTCCCAATTAAGATTATAAAAATCATTTTACAAGCTCTTAAATCAGCTGAAGCCTCTCTCGAGCAATCTCGATTTTTGACACATCTAGAAAGAGATTTCTGACGCATTTTTCTCGACACTGGTTTACGCTAAAATGCTCGCTTTAGTATCAAAAAATAGCTGAAATTCAGGGCTATTTTTTGATACTAAAGACTCATTTTTTGAAAGTACGGGTGCTTTGAAAAACAATGAAATACTAAAAACTACGACTACGCGACTGTACGAGGGGGATGGGGCACTATTACAGTATTTACGGTATCCTTTTTTTAGTCAAACTCACTCGATGCAACAGTCGGAGCTCGAGTCTTCCTGCAGTGTCCATTGGATGTTGAGCAAAGTCGAGCTTGGTTTATCGAGCTTTGGAATGAAACCCTTGTCCCCTACATGATGAAAGTTTATCGAGAAGGTTTGAAGAAAGATTAGATTAGATTTCAGATTAGATTTCACTTTTTCTTTTAGGTGTAAAGATTCTTGGACGCTGCGGAAACTTTGACGATCCAACCGATCGAATTTGCGAGCACTGGCCGTGGCAAAATGGAAAAGAGATCGCGCTGCAGCGATTACCAATTAAGGTTTGTGCGAGTGTTTACGACTTTTCTAGTGTTGTGCCTATTGTTAGCCAATTAAGCCGTACGGTATCCAACAAAGGAAGAGTTTTCGAACTACTGGGGTACCAGAGCTGCTGTTCGAAAATCATTTTTCCGGGTTAGATTCTGAGCTAGCTTCAGGCTATAGAAGGCAGTCTGCCCTGAGTCTGTCAAGTCTGACCGTTGACCTGACATTGTTGCAGACTTGACCCACCAGAAGCCAGACCTGAAGCTAGCCTCTTTTTTTGATGATTTGTTTAGTTGGGGAACGTTGCAGGGCCTATCCGTTGCAGTTTACAGTACTTGTCGTTACCCTAACTGTCCGTTACGTTAGGTTACAGTTACAGTACCTGTCGATGGTTAGAGTAATCAGGCGCTTATTGCTAGACAGGCTACTACTGTATCAACCTAGGTTGGGCCTCAGACTAGGCCCAAGCTAGGCCAGGTTAGGTCCAGTCTAGACCAGGCTTATTAAATCAGGCTATGCTCCAGGTTAGGTCTAGACTAGGCCAAGCTATGCCCAGGCTAGACCAGGCTAGGTCTAGTCTAGACCAGGCTAGGCCAGGCTAGGCCCAGACTGGTTCAGGCTAGACCCAGTCTAGACCAGGCTAGGCCAGGCTAGACCCAGTCTAGACCAGGCTAGGCCAGGCTAGACCCAGTCTAGACCAGGCTAGGCCAGTCTAGACCAGGCTAGGCCAGGCTAGACCCAGTCTAGACCAGGCTAGGCCAGGCTAGACCCAGTCTAGACCAGGCTAGGCCAGGCTAGACCCAGTCTAGACCAGGCTAGACTACTTGGACACTATTTAAGAAGCTCTCTCCTAGCAGATTCCGAAAGCATAAGCCACTAGAGATACAAAAGCACTGGTTAAGGTATAGATCTAGATAAGAGAACCGCTTCCAGACAGAGTTAAATCAACAAAAGACTACAGTATCTTGAATCGCATCTTAGGAAGCTCTTTTAGGAAGCTCTCTCTCAACCGATTGCCCGTCAATCGTTCTCTCCGCTCGACGCCCTAATGAAGCTCCAAACTCGTCCATCATTGTTACATGAAAATCTATAAATCTATAGATTGCGTACATAGTTTTCTATAGTACACTTATAGTTTTAGGTCCCTCTAATTGATTAATCTTTCTAATTGATTGCTCATTTTCTAAATATTTTAAAAATCACCTAATCTTTCTCAATTCCTTTTTCACAACGACTTATATTTTAAAAAGATATTCAGTTCTTTAGCTAATTCTTCCTTTATGTAGCTTTATTTTTCCCTTTTCTTTAGCTCATTTTTCCTTTTTGTTTCCTTTTCTTTACAGAATTTGGGGGTGGGACATTTGCGCACCTTTTTTTTGCTGGAAAAGGCCTTAGGCAAGGCCGTAGAGCTTCGAGAATATTTCCATATAAGGGAATCGTATGCGTAGATTCCGAATTTCGACAAATCAGACCTCGCTGACACGTCAACTTTGGGCTAAAAGGCAAAAACTGCGGAAAAGCGTTAAGTTGCGTAGTTTTTGCCTTTTAGCCCAAATTTGACGTGTCAGCGAGGTCCGATTTTTCGAAATTCGGAATCTACGCATACGATTCCCTTATATGGAAATATTCTCGAAGCTCTACGGCCTTGCCTAAGGCCTTTTCCAGCAAAAAAAAAGGTGCGCAAATGTCCGGGTGCGCAAAAAAAGGGCGCATTTGTCCCACCCCCACAGAATTTGATAAAAATCGACATTTTTCAAGTTTTCTTTGAACAAAAACGGGTTGATTTTTCTGAAAATAGTATTCAATTGTTGATTCTTTCTAAATTTAGGCTAAATTTCTTTTGTTTTTCAATTCTTTTACTAAATGAACCTTGGTTTTTAGTTAATTTCTCTTATTTTTCTTTCATTTTTCTTATTTTTCTTTCATTTTTCTTCTCTTTCTTTCATTTTTCTTATTTTCCTCTTATTTTTCTTTGATTTTCCTCATTTTTCTTTCATTTTTCTTTCATTTTTCCTATTTTTCTTTGATTTTTTTTCTCCTGCCGATCCCCTGTGATTCTTTCCGAAATCTAAGTCCAACTTTTATGTCTTTATTTCGTTTTTTTTTCAAATCCCACTATCCAGAATAAACGTTTCAGAATATTTAAAAAGCGAAAAAAGAAAATTCACACAAAACTACAGCATATTATCTTTTTCAACCTTTCAAATAATACAAAATAGAGGTTTTTTCGACTACAAAATCCCCAGAAATCAAGAGAGCTTCTTGGGGTAAAAGAAAAATCTGTTCCCAAAATTTTTGGAATCAATTTTCTCCATGATTTTTCAGTCAAATCAAGCTCTTTTTAGTATCATTCAAAAGCCTGAAATCTCCTCTTTTCAACAATATAAAAAGCTTAGAATAATATGATGAGTGGACAAAGTTATAGGCCTTCAAAGTGAGATGACTCGTTCGCTCCTCGAGTCGAATGGGCCGATTTGCTCGGAGTTGGCTCTGCTCTTCTTGGACTCAATTAACAAATTAAGCTCCTGATATCATTCAAAAGCCTGAAATCTTCTCTTTTCAACGATATAAAAAGCTAAGAATAATATTATGATTAGGCAAAGTTATGGGCTCTCAAAGTAGGGGCAAAGTTATCCCGAAATCGCTGCCCAATTTTTTTGAATCAATTTTTGAGATCAATTTTCTCTATGACCTTTTAGTCGAATCAAGTCATGTCTAGTATCATTTAAAAGCTTGAAATCTCCTCTATTCAAAAATATTAAAGGCTAAGAATAATATTGTCTCTAGACAAAGTTATGGGCCTTTAAAGCGCGGCTATCCCTTGAAAATGCTCGGTTTTCAGCTCAATACCACTAATCACTATATCGGCTACAGTATTAGCGACCGTATCCCTACAGTAAATCTATAGTAAGCCTAGTAATGCTACAGTAGTCCTGGATTAGCTACAGCATCTCTTACAGTACCCTGGCCATCAGTTTTGCGTCCAACTTCTAGCCGAGCTTGCGAATGCCTAGAAAATCTCAACTTTTCCATTCGAAACTAGTTTTATTTCTCTAGATTTCTTTTGAAAGGCTAATAGGTTGAGTCTCCAAGAATACTTTTCCAAAAATGCATTAACTTCTTGAAGAATTCGCCCCTTTCAAAACCCTTAAAACCCTTCAATTTCCATCGTCATTTATAGCTTTTCTTTTGCTCAACTTTGAAGAGCTTTCATCAGTAATGGAGCTGTCAAGTGCACGAATTTGGAATTTCAATCATTTTCAAAACCCTTCGATTTGCACTTTCTTCGTCTCATTCTCGTCATTTTTCAATTTATTTTCCAATTTATTTTTAAAAAACTTGTCCAGAACAGACATTTCTTTATAAAAAAAAAAGAAAAAAAGAAAAAAAGAAAAAAGAATCCTTCTAAAGCTATCGTAATCTTGAATCCTTAGATTCTTCGATTCTTCGATTCAGTTCTTCCATTTTTTTTCACTCAAACTCAATTGCAGAAAGTTTCAGCGAGTTCCAGAAAGTTCCAGAAAGTTCCAGAAAGCTTTCGGATTACTGTAACTGGGAAAGAGCTACGGGAGAGAGCTTCTTTTTGATTAAAACTCGTTTTGCAAAGTTTAATTTCAATTTTCTCATTGATCTCAAGTGTTTTTGTACTTTTGAGCGACTAAATTTAGCAAATTTGAAACAAAAATATCTTTTTAGATTCTAGATTCGATCTGATTCGATCTGATCTGATTGGTCCGATTGATCCGATTGATCCGATTCGATTCGATTCGATTCGATTCGATTGGTCCGATTGATCCGATTGATCCGATTCTATTGATCCGATTCGATTCGATTGATCCGATTCGATTCGATTGATCCGATTCAATTGATTCGATTGATTCGATTGATCTGATTGATCCAATTGATCCAATTGATCCAATTGATCCGATTGATCCGATTGATCCGATTCGATTGATTTGATTGATCCGATTCGATTGATCCGATTGATCCGATCCGATTCGATTCAATCCGATTAATCCGATTGATTCGATTGATCCGATTCTATTGATCCGATTGATCCGATTGATCCGATTGATCCGATTCTATTGATCCGATTGATTCTATTGATCCGATTGATCCGATTCTATTGATCCGATTGATCCGATTGATCCGATTCTATTGATCCGATTGATCCGATTGATCCGATTGATCCGATTCTATTGATCCGATTCGATTCGATTGATCCGATTCGATTCAATTGATCCGATTCGATTGATTCGATTGATTCGATTGATCTGATTGATCCAATTGATCCAATTGATCCAATTGATCCGATTGATCCGATTGATCCGATCCGATTGATTCTATTGATCCGATTGATCCGATTCTATTGGTCCGATTGATCCGATTGATCCGATTGATCCGATTGATCCGATTCTATTGATCCGATTCGATTCGATTCAATCCGATCAGATCCGATCCGATTCGATCCGAAATCTTTTCGTTTCCCCTCATCGATGGTTTATGGACAACAACTAAATCAGGCGTTCACTCGTTTCAACTCATTTTGTCACGAGAAAACGAATCGAATCCGGGAATCATTTTCGCCTTCAAGTAAATCAAAAAACATCTATCAAAAGCTTGACTCACTCTCGAATTTATTGGAAATATTTTTGAAGCTTCTTCTTGAAGCTTCTTCTTAAAGCTTCTTCTTAAAGTTTATTCTTCAGCTTATTTCTCTAGCGTTTCGTAGTCTAAACAAAAGCTATATGCCAAATAACTGTATGCCAAATATCTCGCGATAGAGAAGCGTTTGGCAAAAACTGATTACAGATTTGGAATCAGCGTGAAATACTGCATTAGATAGGCTATTTTGCGATTTAAAAGTCACGATAAGTTAGCAACGTTCTCTAGTAAGTTCTCAGAAGAAACGCTAATAAATTAGCACCAGTACGCTTGTTTCTTAGATCTAAAATTAAAGAAATATTTGGGAATACAATTGACATCAAATAATCAAATAATCAAATAATCAAATAATCAAATAATCAAAAATAAGCTTTCCAGGACCAGCCTCTAATCAATCCGATCGCTCATCCACATCAGGCACCTCAACCCTGCTCGATCCAGAAGAGACTAAAGGTTGGCTACTTTGGTTTCTTGGCTTGGCCTTGCTTGGCTTGGCTTGGCTTTCTTGGCTTGACTTTCTTGGCTTAGCTTTCTTGGCTAGCCTTTCTTGAACAAGAATAGACTAGCTGTTGGACTAACTACCTTACAATGACACTAGCTCGAAGTTGAGATCACGTCACGTCACGTCATCATCTCGTAGAATCGGTTATGCTGATTTTTGAATCACTAAAAACTAACTCCAAACACCCAAAAGTCTCGCAGAAATCTCGCAGAAAGTTCTCTTAAAATTCCCCTCTTCAAACTCTTCATAGCGCCGCCACAAAGCAAAGTTCAAACGGCTACTTTACTAAAGCTCTTGACCAGCATTTTCAATGGATAGCCGTGCTTTAAAGGCCTATAACTTTGTCTAGAGATAATATTATTCTTAGCCTTTAATATTGTTAAAAAGAGGAGATTTAAGGCTTTTGAACAATACTAAACATGGCCTGATTCGACTAAAAGGTCATAGAGAAAATTGATCATGATTAGTGGCATTGAGCTGAAAACCGAGCATTTTCAAGGGATAGCCGCGCTTTAAAGGCCCATAACTTTGTCTAGAGACAATATTATTCTTAGCCTTTAATATTGTTGAATAGAGGAGATTTCAAGCTTTTAAATGATACTAAACCTGGCCTAATTCAACTAAAATATCATAGAATAAATTGATCTCAAAAATTGATTCAAAAAAATTGGGCAGAGATTTCGGGGATCAGAGATCAGCGGCCCCGCCTTTGAGAGCCCATAACTTTGCTTAGAACTTATATGAACTGCTTCCGTCTCAAACGGATTCGGCAGTCCAGAGGATAGTCTGTTTGTCTACTATTCTTTACTGATGAGCTTTTTGCTTGGGTTCGAATCCACCCCCGGAATTTTCATTTTTTAGAAAATTCTTTTTCTGATGTCTTTGCATTAAATTTTTATGTCTCTCTCTCTTTCACAAATTCGAAAAATCTTCATAAAAGTTGCAATTCTCAAAATAGGTCATCGATTTCAACAAAGGTTTATAAAGTTAGAATAGTTCCTTGCAAAGATCGGTGCAAAGAACTTCGAGCTGGCGTCGTTCCCTTGTTTGGTAGCTGATCGAAGTTACAGTCGTCTCAGTGACGTGGATGACGGTGGTTCCTTAATCCTAAAGTTCCCAGAGATTAGTTCTTCAGATACAGTTCAACAGATAGCTCTACAGTATCTAGAGATAGATATAGAGTTCTAGAGTTCTACAGATAGCTCTACAGTATCTAGAGATCAGTTACAGCATCCTACAGCTCTACAGATAGCCCTACAGTACCTACAGATCAGTTACAGCGTTCTACAGCTCTACAAATAACCCTACAGTATTTAGAGATCAGATATAGAGTTCTACAGCTCTACAGATAGCCCTACAGTATCTAGAGATCAGTTACAGCATCCTACAGCTCTACAAATAACCCTACAGTATCTAGAGATAGATATAGAGTTCTACAGCTCTACAGATAACCCTACAGTACCTACAGATCAGTTACGGCGTCCTACAGCTCTACAGATAGCTCTACAGTATCTAGAGATCAGTTACAGCATCCTACAGCTCTACAAATAACCCTATAGTATCTACAGATAGATACAGAGTCCTACAGCTCTACAGATAGTCCTACAGTACCTACAGATCAGTTACGGCGTTCTACAGCTCTACAAATAACCCTACAGTATCTAGAGATCAATTACAGCATCCTACAGCTCTACAGATAGCCCTACAGTATCTAGAGATAGATATAGAGTTCTAGAGTTCTACAGATAGCTCTACAGTATCTAGAGATCAGTTACAGCATCCTACAGCTCTACAGATAGCCCTACAGTATCTAGAGATCAATTACAGCATCCTACAGCTCTACAAATAGCCCTACAGTATCTACAGATCATTTACAGCGTCCTACAGCTCTACAGATAACCCTACAGATCAATTAAAATCAAGATCTACAGATGACTTTTCTAGTAGGGAACTAGTGCGATGATTCAGTCGGTTTCAATCTTTCAACTTTCAAAAAGGCTTTAGCTAATCACAAAGATCGACCTTAATAGATCGCTTAGTAAATTAAAGAGTTTATTTAACAACAAAAAAATCTCTCTTTTGCACTAATCATTCCCATATCAAGGCAAACAAATAAACAAAAATAATTGAAGAGAAAAAGGGGGAAAGAAAATGAAGAGAATTGAGAAAACATTGCTATCAGTCGATTCGAGTGGGCGATTTCTCCCCCTCTTCACCCCTACAAACACCAAATCTTTGAAAACGATTTTGCACAAAATCTTTGAAGTCTTTTCATTCTTGAATTCTAGCTTTATAGGCTTTTAGCTTCAGGCTCTTAGCTTCAGGCTTTTAGCTTCAGGCTCTTAGCTTCAGGCTTTTAGCTTTAGGGTTTTAGCTTTTGGCTTTTAGCTTCAGGCTCTTAGCTTCAGGCTTTTAGCTTCAGGCTCTTAGCTTCAGGCTTTTAGCTTTAGGCTTTTAGCTTTTGGCTTTTAGCTTCAGGCTCTTAGCTTCAGGCTTTTAGCTTCAGGCTTTTAGCTTCAGGCTCTTAGCTTTAGGCTTTTAGCTTCAGGCTTTTAGCTTTTAGCTTTAGCTTTTAGCTTTAGCTTTTGGCTTTAGCTTTTGGCTTTAGCTTTTGGCTTTAGCTTTTGGCTTTAGCTTTAGCTTTTGGCTTTTCAATTTTCTCCCATTAAATACACTTCTAAAGTGCTACCGTTTTGACTTTTGACCGTTTTGACTCGCGTTTCGGTAACCTTTTTTGGGTATTCTGACAATTCTGACATGTTTAAGCACATTGATCCTACGATAATCGAGTTTTTTTAAGCGATTTTTAAAAAACCTATAACTACAATTACTTTATATAGCCTCGATTTCGGTAGCTCATCCATTTTACGGAAACTCAAGCCATTACGACTTTAGAAATAACCACTTTCTATAAATTTTGAATTTCTATTTAAGATTACGGTAGCTGCTTTATTGAATAATCGCCTATTTCCTAGTTTTCGGTTATTTTGAAAGAATCTGGTTCTTTTAAAAGAATCTGGGTCTTTTAAAAGAATCTGGGTATTTTGAACGAGTCGTCACCCTTTGAAGGCCTATAACTTTGTCCAGAGATTATATTATTCTTAACTCTTTATATCGTTGAATAGAGGAGATTTCAGGCTTTTAAATGATACCAGAAAGAGCTTGATTGGATAATCCAGTTCAAGAAAATCAGAGCCAACTCAACCAAAGAGGCCTATCGAATTCGGGTGTCGTGTCGCGTGGTTTTGCATGGGAATGAAAAAAGTCAATCTAGCTGTATTTGGTATCGTTTGAAAGCCTGAAATCTCCTCTATTCAACAATATAAAAAGTTAAGAATAATATTATGCTTAGGCAAAGTTATGGGCCCTTAAAGCGCGGCTATCCATTGAAAATGCTTGGTAAAAATGCTAAAATTTTCAAATCAATTTTCTTTATGGTCTTTTAGTCAAATCCAGCTCTATTTGATAAAGTTTGAAAGCCTGAAATCTCTTCTTTCCAACGATATAAAAAGCTAAGAATAATATAATATCTAGACAAAGTTATAGACCTTCAAAGTGAGATGACTCGTTTAAAAGACCCGAATTTTTTCAAAAGACGCGGATTCTTTCAAAAGACCCAGATTCTTTTAAAATATTCGGAAACTATGCAAGAGCCGAATCGTCTATTAAAGCTAAAGATTTGAAAGAAATTTTATCTTTAGAAATGCAATCACAGCAAAAAACCCAATCGTTGAACGAAAGAAGCGGCTCGGTGAAGAATAAAACGGAACAAAACGAGGAAAAAATGCCCGACAGAACTGGTGAGACAAAAAAAATGATTATACTAATCAGTAATCGATTATACAGTAATTTTTCTAAACTAAAAGCTAAATTAGGCTTTGTCTTTTCTCTAGTTTTCTAAACTAAAAACTAGAATAGCTAAGTTAAAATTGATTCTAACGATATTTCGGCTAGAAATCCTTGTAGAAACACGTAGACTAAAGATTTTTGAAAGCTTTTTTTAATCAAAAGATTGAGAAATCTATAGGCTTTTAAATGAAATAAAAATTAAAACAAATCACATTTTCTATGCTGAGATTTAACGTTTTCTTTACAGGCTTATAGTCTTTTCTCGTGAGACGGCTATAAATAGCTTGTTCTCTGGCTAGAAATAATGAATTTTCTTGATTTTTACGTTATTGAAAAGCCTAGAAATTACTCGATCTTTTGGTAAAAAGAGTTTTAAAAAAGCTCTATTCTACGCGTTTCTATAAGGGTTTATAGTTTGAACTTGTAGTTTGTAGCTATTCGAAAATAAGATTAACTGGCTTTTCAAAGTAAAGAGCTACGCTAAAGTTTTTTCTAATTGAGAACACGGAATGACTCGCGGAGAGTTCCGGGAACACGGAAAGAACACCATTGAGTACATCGCTGACTACATGGAGAACATTCACAAGCGACGGGTTGTCCCGCAGATTGAGCCCGGGTTTGTTCGACTTTTTTCGACTTTGTTCGACAAACACAACCTTTCTGGCGTATTGTGAGGCTTCAGTTTTCTTTTTGGATTTGGGTTTGGGTGAAAAGAATAGCTGGGATTTCGGTTCACTGAGTTTGCCAGACTGGTGTTTTCATTAAAAAGAGCAATTAGATGACTATTAGGTTGGTGGGAAAATAATCGAAATTTGGAGCCTCTAACTTCAAGTCCAAAACTAAAAGTCAATAACAAATGAATTTATTCAAAGTAAAAACCATCAGCATCTATACACTGCTGCCAACGCGAAACAATTTTCCAATTTCACTAGAATAGAAATTTGGCGTTCTCGAGTCGATAAACTGCTGGAAAGCGTTTTCGGCCTCGCCTTGATTCTTGAACTGTTGTTCTTCTAGAAAATGGCACAGATGCGGCAGAAGGGATGTGTTTGTCTTCTGGATTGATTAGTAAACGAACTCATCAAAAGCTAAGCAAAAAGCTAAAGCTAAAAGTTAAAGCTAAAGCTAATGCTAATGCTAAAGCTAAAAGCTAAAGCTAAAACCAAAAGCTAAAGCCAACAGCTAAAGCCAAAAGCTAAAGCTAAAAGCTAAAGCTAAAGCCAAAAGCTAAAAGCTAAAGCTAAAACCAAAAGCTAAAGCTAAAAGCTAAAAGCTAAAGCTAAAGCTAAAAGCTACAGCCAAAAGCTAAAGCTAAAGCCAAAAGCCAAAAGCTAAAGCTAAAGCTAAAAGCTAAAGCCAAAAGCTAAAGCCAAAAGCTAAAGCTAAAGCCAAAAGCTAAAGCCAAAAGCTAAAGCCAAAAGCTAAAGCCAAAGCCTAAAGCTAAAGCCAAAAGCTAAAAGCTAAAGCTAAGAATGAAATTCTTTAGCTATCTGAAAGATTTGATTCCAAACGAGCCACCGGCAAAAGGAGAAGGATACGAGCGACTTCTCGACGACTTCGAGAAGTTCATTATGCCTGGAGTGAGTGTTAGGCCTAGAATGGCCTAAGAAGGCCTAGAATCTTTTAATACCTAAAATATTCTCTAAATTGAATTGATAAACTAAAATTATTCAAATTCTGAATCTTCTACAGGTTACCCATTGGCAACATCCTCGTTTCCATGCCTATTTCCCGGCAGGAAACTCGTGGCCATCAATTCTCGCTGACATGCTTAGCGATGCACTTGGATGTGTTGGATTCAGCTGGGTGAGCTCGATTTGCATTGCATCGAATGTTTCTTTTGCTTCAATTCAATAGTTACTATTCAATAGTTACTAGTTACACTATTTAAAAGCTTATCTAATCTATTTTTTGGAATAATTCTAAAGCTCTCTTGTAAGCTCTCACCTTCTACTCTGAACTTTGCTTTCAGCTTTCTTTCAGCTTTCTTTCCTCTTCTAGAAAAGCTTGCTTTATCACTTAAGCAATCTCTTCCTGTAAGCTTTAGTTTCATTGTTTTGTTGAAAAGATGAATGAAGAATGTTCAGGCTGCATGTCCAGCGATGACCGAACTCGAGATGATTATGTTGGAGTGGTTCGGGAAAATGATTGGTTTACCCAAAGAGTTTCTGCCGTTTACGGAGAATGGAATGGGTGGAGGAGTGATACAGGTGATCAATTGTAAACTGCATTAACAAATTCATCAATCCTATCCACCATATTTTCAATCCGATCCACCATTTGTAGATTTTCGGAGTGGAGATTGAAGCCTGACTCTTCCTATCCTCTTGCTCTTCCTCTTGCTCTTCCTCTTCCTATCCTCTTGCTCTTCCTCTTGATCTTCCTCTTCCAATCCTCTTGCTCTTTCTCTTGCTCTTCCTCTTCCTATCCTCTTGCTCTTCCTCTTGCTCTTCCTCTTCCTATCCTCTTGCTCTTCCTCTTGATCTTCCTCTTCCAATCCTCTTGCTCTTCCTCTTGATCTTCCTCTTCCAATCCTCTTGCTCTTTCTCTTGCTCTTCCTCTTCCTATCCTCTTGCTCTTCTCTTCTCCCTCTTCTTCTCCTCCCTTACCCTCCCCCCCCCTCCTCCTCTTGCTCTTTCTCTTGCTCTTGCTCTTCCTATCCTCTTGCTCTTTCTCTTGCTCTTCCTCTTGCTCTTTCTCTTGCTTCTCTATTGCTCTAACCACTGAGCTATTCATTGAATTGTCAAGAGAAAGAAGGAAAGATAAAGGGAAGGAAGAAAGAAAGAAAGAAAGAAGAATTAGTTTTCGGTTTAACTCGAGTTTATCATTGAATCTTCATCAAATTATCCAAAAACGTTATCCAAAAACGTAACGACTACGGGACTGTACCGTCGTTACTTGACTACCGTATTCCTTGACTCAGCTGAGTTACGATAGGTGATCTTATGACCAAGTTACCGTATTCTAATCTAGTTTCTAAGCAGATTAAGGCCAAGATTTGAGCATTTATGAAGCTAGCTAGTTAAATAAACATTCCTAGGTACAGCTAGTTAGTTAGTTAGTTAGTTAGTTAGTTAGTTAGTTAGTTAGTTAGTTAGTTACACTACTGGACAATGAAATATGATATTTGAAAAACGATCGTCACTTTCGCGCGTCTGTAACTCCCTTGTCTTTACCGTATTTCTAAATATTAATATTACCATTGTGTAGCCCTTGAAAAGAGCTTTCAGAAAATGTATAACACTAATAGTTTAAACGCAAAGACAAGGGAGTTACAGAGGCGCTAAAGTGACGATCGTTTTTCAAATATCATATTTCATTGTCCAGTACTGTACCTTTCAAATCTTCAGCTTACTTCCCGTTGTTTTCAGGCTTCAGCATCCGAATGCAATTTCGTCTCATTGCTGGCAGCTCGTTTCGAAGTGATGAAAGAATTGAGACATCGTTTCCCGTTTGTTGAAGAGGGACTTTTGCTCTCGAAATTGATCGCCTACTGCTCGAAAGAGGTTTATCGTAGAGTCCTGAATCCCTTGGCTTTTCGTCGCGGGGAAATGTAGCGTATAGGTGCGGCTATCCGGCGCCATCACTTACTCAAAGTCCCTTTGACTGGGGCCATAGATCAGAGAAGGTGCAAGTCCTGTACGAGTGGTGACGGAGTCGGTCGGTCGTTCCTTGGAGTCGGGTTGCCTGAGAAAGCAGCCTTAAGCGGGTGGTAAACTTTATCTAAGGCTAAATATGGCTACGAGACCGAAAGAGGTTTATCGTAGAGTCATATGCAGAATTGTAACAATTTCTAGAAGCTTTATGCTTAATTTATTGAAAATATAGCAATACTATGTACAGGACTATGCGAAAATGCAGTGCTTTTGTGTTGTGCTTTTTTTTGCTGTACTTTTTTGCTGTACAAATTTTCCCCTAATTTTTACAGGCACACTCATCCGTTGAAAAAGCTTGCATGATCGGTATGGTGAAGTTGAGAATTTTGGAGACTGATAGCCGCTTTCGTTTACGTGGAGAGACATTGAGAAACGCGATACAGGTGAGGAAAAATAAAAGTTGATAAGTTTTTACTGAAACACACGGGCCGGGAGTCGAACCCGGAGTCGAACCCGGATCGTGTGGGCTGGAAAGAAGAAGAGTGCTCCCGACTGCGCCACGGGGACCATCCGGAGACGCCCACAGAAACTCGGTCTTAACCGGGCATTCGACTTTTTCGGCTGATCGAATACTAGCCGAAAAAGCCGAGTATCCGTTTAAGGGCAGATTTGGCCGCTGTCGCCAGATGGTTGCCGTGGCGCAGTCGGGAGCAGGCTGGTCTACAACCCACGTGATCCGGGTTCGACTCCCGGCTGTGCCATGGCTTTCGTTTTTTAAAAAAACGAGATGTGGGATGCATAACTACATAGATTTTAAGCCTAAGAAACTAAAAATCATGTAAATCGGACCAAGAAGCGCTGAGAACAGACGGATTGACGGACAGACAGACGGACAGACATCATTTAACTTCTTCTTTTCAGGAGGACCGTAACCTTGGCCTCATCCCATTCTTCGTGTCGACCACTTTAGGCACAACGAGTTGCTGCTCATTCGATGTGCTCTCCGAGATTGGACCCGTTTGCCAGGAGAATGAGTGCGTTTATTGAATCATATATAAATTTCCATTTAAAATACAGCTTGATAAGGCCAGAAAAAAAGTCGAGTTTGGTAGCTTCGTTAGCTTCTGTTCTGACCATATTTACTATCCCATCATTCTAATAGAAGGAGCTGATATCGTTATCAATTTTAGACAGTTAAAGATATCTTTTCACTGATTATGGGTCAAAATAAACCCCGCCAAACGATTCCCTGACCTCGAAAACCCCAGACACAAATTTCTAAGACTAAATCTCATTTCTGAGCCATTCTCAAAGCAAAAGAAAAATCCCTGTCAAAAGTGAGGTGTTCTCTGTGCGCGCACAATCGCTCTCCATCTAGCAAACTGCTTTGGTATAAGGTGGGAAAGGGAAAGAGAGGGAAAGAAACTGAGCCCACTTCGGCCTTACTTTGCCAATTTATTTTAATAAATTTTTCTTTTAAATTGTTTGTAGTTTGTTTGTTATCAAACTCTATTATTGTATATTGTAGCCTCAACAAGTCTCCTTTTTAAAAAAGATAAGATTTCAGATAAAGTTTCGTAGCCTTAGAGAGTGATAGTTTTTTAGCCTAATCATTCAAAGTACCCCCAACGGACTAGAACCCGGAAATTCATCGAATTTCGGTTCACTGAGTGTGCCAGACTTGTGTTTTCATTAAAAAGAGCAATTAGATGAAGAACTAGATGAACTAGATGAGGAACTTGATGAGGAACTAGAGGAGGAACTAGATGAAGAACTAGGTGAAGAATTAGATGAAGAACTAGATGAACTAGATGAAGAACTAGTGGGCTGTGGAATTAGTGGACTAGTGTGTGGAACTAGATGGGAAACTTGATGAAGAATTAGATGAAGAACTAGATGAACTAGATGAAGAATCAGATCAACAACTAGATGAAGAACTAGATGGAAAACTAGATGAACTAGATGAAGAACTAGATTAACAACTAGATGAAGAACTAGCTGGAGAACTAGATGAAGAATTTGATGAAGGACTAGATGAACTAGATCAACAACTAGATCAACAACTTTGCTTGATTCAGCATCTGATTTCCAGATTGTGGCTCCATGTAGACGCAGCTTATGCCGGCTCGGCGATGATCTGTCCCGAGTTTCGGCCATTGATGAACGGAATCGAGTACGCGATGTCGTTTAACACAAATCCCAACAAATGGATGCTCGTCAATTTCGATTGTTCCACAATGTGGTAAGTGCTTAGCTTAGCACATTTACTACAGTTCTCTTTTTGAAAAGTATTAAAAAATTATATTAGAAGAACTGGCTCAGATGAGGGCTGAAAAAGCCGTGACTAAGTAAACGTAAGTAGGTTTTTTTTTGGCAAAGTAAACTGAAAACAAACTGAAAACGAACTAGAAGTTAAAATCAGTGTTTCTGTTAACAAAATCTCTTTAAAACACTTTTCTGACTAAACTAAAGCCAGAAGGTTGGGTTGTCTTGGCTTTGACTTGGCTTTGACTTGGCTTTGTCTTGGCTTTGACTTGGCTTTGTCTTGGCTTTGTCTTAGCCTTGTCTTGGTTTTGTCTTGACCTTGTCTTGGCTTTGACTTGGCTTTGACTTGGCCTTGTCTTGACCTTGTCTTAGCCTTATCTTGGCCTTGTCTTGGCTTTGTCTTGGCCTTGTCTTAGCCTTATCTTGGTTACCTTGTCTTGGCCTTGTCTTGGCCTTATCTTGACCTTGTCTTGACCTTGTCTTGGCCTGATCTTGGCCTTGTACAGTTAAACCTTGATTTGACGATTCTCAAGAGGCCAGGATTCTTCATCGTTAAATCTAACATCTTTATAAGGTAAATAGCTTTTAAGGGATCAAAAATTGAAATCATTAAATCGAGAGTCGTTGAATCGACGTTTAACTGTATAAGCTTCAAAAATTTGATGAACTTTGATGCTTTTGATGAACGAATTGCAAGCCCACCAGACAACAAGAATTTCTGTTGTCTCTTCCCCTTTTCTCTTTGTGATTTATGAATTTTCGTGGCGCTTATCATTTTGTAGTGTTTAGTGTCGGAGAGATAACCCGAATTCCTTGATTTCTTTCCTCTTTTTTGCCTTCAAACTCCAAATAGCACCTAATAGTCATGGGAATTTCTCACAAAACTCTTGTCTAAACCGGGAATAGATTATACTATTGGGTTGGGGAGAATGAGTCGGCGCCAAACTTTAAAGGGACTTTTTGCACACATAAAGCCTTCTTTAAACATACGTTTGGTTTCATCAAAAGGATCCACTATTTCTCTACAAAATCACTTTTGAGAGATTCCACAAAGCTTTTCTTTCGTGGAGTTTATGGACTCCCAAACACAGCTAGTCAAAATGGCAAAGAGTCCGACTCATCATTTGAACAGTTTCTTTCACATAAACCTTCTTTGGTGTTTATATAAAAAAGATAGAGCACATTCAATTACTTAAGTTGCCAAATTTGCAGGAAGATCCCACCAATGGTTTTTCTAGATCACAGTTTGTAGTTTTTTGTGAAAAAATGGCTTTTTCTTGAGCGGAGGCGCTGTTTGAATTTTCTTTTAAATGTCATTTTGTAGAGAATTAGTTAACCATTCTACTCATATCAAACGCATATTATTTGACGAAGTCGAATAGAAGTTTTAGACATTTTTTTTGATTTTCGGCGCCGACTCATTCTCCCCAACCCAATATATTGAAATGTGAAAGAGATTGATTTATGAATGAAATGCTGTTGAAGCTCAATGCTCAATGGTAATATCAACATCAATATTTCTTTAATCACAAGATTCAGTTGTAATTTTTTGAAGATATTAAATTGCCTTGATTTAAATCAAGGCAATGCACCAAGGCTAACATCGTTGAATTAAACCGTTGAGTTAAACGTTTTTGCTTGACTTTAGCGTTGATTCTTGATTCTAAGTCTTGATTCAGATACTATTTCTAGATTAAAACTTGATTCGAAGCCAGGATAAGGCTTTAATTACACGCATGAACTTTTAAAACAAAACTGGTAAGAAAACTGGTAAGAAAATTGGTCAGAAAACTGATGACAAAGTTAGTAACAAAACTCGCCACAAAACTGGTCACAAAACTGGTTAGAAAAAGCAAGTCATACGCAATTTCATCGACAATACTTTTTGGGATAACTTTGAATGGATGTTGAAGAGAGTCTGAGATATCAAAATGTCTAAATGTTTGCAGAATTGAAACTAGAGCAGACCAAAAACGTGCCTACCGGCGGGACTCGAATCCTCGACCTTCCGCTTACTAATCAACCGTGCTAACCATTACAAAATGCGTCTTTGGTATCAAAAAATAGCTGAGATTCAGGGCTATTTTTTCATACCAAAGCGAGCATTGTAGCGTAAACCAGTGTCGAGAAAAACTCGTTCAAAGCTAGACTACGCAACACTCCGCACCGTCATTATGGGGGTGGGGTACTATTACAGTATTTACGGTAAGGCTTTTGCCCGGCATGCCTCCGTAGCCTAGTGGATAGTGTGCTAGCGCAATGGATCCGTTTATCCTTGGTTCGGTTCCACTCTCGATCAGATTTTCTCGAACAAAAACACTGGAAAATCACTTTTTTAACCAGTAATCTCTTAATTTAATGTAAAAAAAAGGTTCCGACTTTTGAATTAATTGATTTAACAGCCACTTTTTAACACGATCCAATTAATTGCAGGGTTCGCGATCGCTTCAAACTCACCCAAGCGCTCGTCGTCGATCCGCTCTACTTGCAGCACTCATGGATGGGTAAATTTTGTATAAATTCGATGAATTTGGAGAAATCTTGTATTAGTGATGAATTCTTAACTAGAAAATAGAAATCTCTACCTTTTTTTTACAGACAAATCGATCGACTACCGTCATTGGGGAATTCCTTTATCGCGTCGTTTCCGCTCTCTTAAACTCTGGTTTGTGATTCGATCCTACGGTGTCGAGGGACTGCAGAAATATATTAGAGAGGTGAGGTTTACTGGAGTTATTTGTATGCTAATCTTATCAAAACACTAAAGCATTAGAATTACTGTAGGAATAGCTGAGAAATCAAGAATCTAATCGCTTATCGCTCGTCGCTCAGCGCTAGATTAGTTGAGAGCTTGTAGATTTGTAATTTTAGCAAAGATTCCTGTAAACTTATACATTCTTTACTCTTTACGTCTAGCACGTTCGACTGGCGAAGAAATTCGAAACAATGCTGCGAGCGGATCCGATTTTCGAGATCGTCGGCGATGTCATCATGGGACTCGTTTGTTTCCGAATTCGAGTGAGTAAAGATACCAAGAAAGCCAAAGATACCAAGAAATCCTATCTATCTCTCAGCAATTATTGCACAATGACAATAGCTATCTACCATTATATAGAATCTAATTGAAATCGAGATCAATTATCTCTAAAAAAGCAAAAGAATGTCGAATCACGGACTCGAACCAGGAAGGTCTCCCTTTGGATTCCAGCCGACTACCACTTTGCCACCACTGCCTTTCGAGACCTCTGGAAAATCTGCTTCTAAACTCGAGAGCTCTCAAATCCCATTCAAACTTTAAGCGCTTAGAACTTTTGATAGAGTACTGCGTTGCAAAAACCGAAATCAGATTCGGAATCAGCGCAAAATTCTTGAATCGTTTATGCCATCTGATCACCACAATCGGCTAAAATCCCCTTGTAAGTCTTAGAAAAAAATTAGACTTCAAATAGAAAATGTATTTCGGTGAAAGGCTTAAAGGGAATGGTCCAAATTGATCGGAGGATTTCGCTACGCAGCTGAGATGCTTAGTTGGACTTTTTGAATGTCACTTGCTCTTAAAAATTATTATTGAACATTCTACAATAAATAAAAAGTGTTTTTAAAGGTTTAGCAAAAAAAAGAAAAAAATTTTTGCAACCGGATTTGAACCAGGCTCAAAAAAAGTCAGAGTAGGATTACGAGTGCGCAGACTTACCTCAGCATCATTTGGTCACGTTTAAGGCCATGGGAAAGAGCTGATATATCCCCGAAGTGCGATTTCCCGAGATTTCCCGAGTTCCCGACACCCAAACTTTGCGAGCGTTTTTCTTGTGAACCATTGAGAATGGGTAAAAATAAATCGAGCATTGTGTTGCCGATGCTCGTTTGCATTTCAGCTGCTTACAATCATTACATTACAATGCTTACAATGCTTACAATGCTTACAATGCTTACAATGCTTACAATGCTTACAATGCTTACAATGCTTACAATCCTTACAATCCTTACAATGCTTACAATGCTTACAATCCTTACAATCCTTACAATGCTTACAATGCTTACAATGCTTGCAATGCTTGCAATCCTTACAATCCTTACAATCCTTACAATGCTTGCAATGCTTGCAATGCTTGCAATGCTTGCAATGCTTACAATGATTACAATCCTTACAATCCTTACAATCCTTACAATGCTTACAATGCTTACAATCCTTACAATCCTTACAATCCTTACAATCCTTACAATGCTTACAATGCTTGCAATCCTTACAATCCTTACAATCCTTACAATGCTTGCAATGCTTGCAATGCTTGCAATGCTTGCAATGCTTGCAATGCTTACAATGCTTACAATGATTACAATGCTTACAATCCTTACAATCCTTACAATCCTTACAATCCTTACAATCCTTACAATTGTGAAAATAGTGAAATCGTGAAATCGTCCAATCACTTTCGTCAGCGAAAATCAGCTAAATCGTTCGGTCCGGTGAACCATTCCCTCAACTTAAACACTTTCCTCTGTTTCAGTGATTTAAAAGAAATGAACTGTAACTGTACTGTAAGCTAAACAAAGCTTTAGGCAAGTGAAGAAGCGAATCAACAATTGTTGACAAAGTTGAACTCGTCTGGACGCATTCATATGGTGCCAGCGTCACTAAACGACCGCTTTGTCATTCGTTTCTGCGTTTGTGCCGAGAATCCGACTGATAAGGATATTCAGGTGAATATCATTTGTTTATAGATCAACAATCAATGAAAATTGAGATTTAATAGGTAGAACTAGGTTCAGTCTAGGCTTGGGTTAAGATAGACTTGCCCAAGTCAGAGAAAGGCTGAGCTTGACAAAGCTCAGCTAGATGGGTAGACGGTGACTCGGGGTAGACGCTTTAATACATTCACGTTACAGCCAAATACTAATGACGATTAGCAATGAAGATTGATGATTGTGATTATGTTTAAGCTGTAATCGACCTAAGTCAGCGATTATCAGCAAATATCTTTCAGATCGCTTACGATATCATCAGTCAAGCTGCTCAGCATATCATTCGTAAGTAAAAAGTTTTGAAAGAATATCTTTATAGCAAATTTATAGACGAAACCTCAACCGAACCTTTACTTGAAGATCAATACTTGGAGGCGCTTGAGGAGAAAGGAATTGACACAACTTCTGTCCTAAATCATCACTCACCGACAAGAAGACGCATGAGTAATGTAAGGAGAAAATAGAGAGAATAGAGCTTGATTTCGAGTGCTTTATTTCTCTAGTAGTGGACTTTTTAGACTAATTGTAGTAATTGTAGTAGGGGAACTTGGAATTAGACTTGGGGCTCCAGTAGAGCTCTAGCTCCAGTAGAGCTCTAGCTCCAGTAGAGCTCTAGCTCCAGTAGAGCTCTAGCTCCAGTAGAGCTCTAGCTCCAGTAGAGCTCTAGCTCCAGTAGAGCTCTAGCTCCAGTAGAGCTCTAGCTCCAGTAGAGCTCTGGCTCCAGTAGAGCTCTGGCTCCAGTAGAGCTCTAGCTCCAGTAGAGCTCTGGCTCCAGTAGAGGCTCTGGCTCCAGTAGAGCTCTGGCTCCAGTAGAGCTCTGGCTCCAGTAGAGCTCTGGCTCCAGTAGAGCTCTAGCTCCAGTAGAGCTCTGGCTCCAGTAGAGCTCTAGCTCCAGTAGAGCTCTAGCTCCAGTAGAGCTCTGGCTCCAGTAGAGCTCTAGCTCCAGTAGAGCTCTGGCTCCAGTAGAGCTCTGGCTCCAGGGCCTAGCCCAAGAGCTCTGGCTCCAGTAGAGCTCTGGCTCCAGTAGAGCTCTAGCCCAGTAGAGCTCTAGCTCCAGTAGAGCTCTAGCTCCAGTAGAGCTCTAGCTCCAGTAGAGCTCTAGCTCCAGTAGAGCTCTAGCTCCAGTAGAGCTCTAGCTCCAGTAGAGCTCTAGCTCCAGTAGAGCTCTAGCTCCAGTAGAGCTCTAGCTCCAGTAGAGCTCTAGCTCCAGTAGAGCTCTATCGTTAAATCGGTGATCGTTCTCTTCCTTGTATTCCCTTCTTTCTCTTGAAAAACTGAGTCCAGATCGATGAATGGTAGAAGAGGTAAGCAAAAGGTCAAGAATTCAATCCTTGAATCCAGATTGGAACCGTATTGGAACCGTATTAGATGAGAATAGGAACCGTATTGGAACCTCTCTAGATCTTTTCTTTATTGTAGACTTAAGCAATCAATAACAAATCAAATCTAAAGTCTCATTGGTCTTTTGGTTCTTGTTGTAGTCTCGTGTAGTCGTTGTAGTCTTTTCTATGGTACAATGCAACCCAACTTTTCTAGTGCACTCAATTTTATCTTTTCTTATGCATGCTTTCTTATTTTTCGAAAATTTTCAGCCAAATTTCATCGCAAAACTCTGGCGTGGCGTAAAAAAAGCTTTGCCCTGCAAGAAAGGAAACAAAAAATCACCACCATAATCAGATTTTCATTTGTAATCATTTGTAAAAACTTTTCTATATCTATTTTTTTTGTTACGAGTACATTTTAAAACTTTCTTCTTTTCACTATTAGATTCTTTTTTGATTGCAATTGGTTGCAATTGGTTGTAGTTGATTGCAATTGATTGTAGTTGATTGCAATTGGTTGTAGTTGATTGCAATTGGTTGTAATTGATTGTAATTGGTTGTAGTTGATTGCAATTGGTTGTAGTTGATTGCAATTGGTTGTAGTTGATTGCAATTGATTGTAGTTGATTGCAATTGGTTGTAGTTGATTGCAATTGGTTGTAGTTGATTGCAATTGGTTGTAGTTGATTGCAATTGGTTGTAGTTGATTGGAATTGGTTGTAGTTGATTGCAATTGGTTGTAGTTGATTGCAATTGGTTGTAGTTGATTGCAATTGGTTGTAATTGGTTGCAATTGGTTGTAGTTGATTGCAATTGGTTGTAATTGATTGTAATTGGTTGTAATTGGTTGCAATTGGTTGCAATTGGTTGCAATTGGTTGCAATTGATTTCAATTGATTGTAATTGTTTGTAATTGGTTGCAATTGTTTGTAATTGGTTGTAATTGATTGTAATTCGTTGTAATTGGCTTAATTTGATTTTGAAATGGAAATGAACGTTTTATCTATTGCCTTGTGAATTTCTCTTGCATGCTAGTTGAATAAAATTGTTATTTTAAAAGAATCTAATGAATCTAATGAATCATTTATTATATCAAAATCTCAATAAAATCTCAATAAACTTCAGTTTGAAATCTCTGAGGGTGGCCCACTCTCTCCGTATTCGCCGACTTTCGAAAAGCAGCCATCAAAAGAAGAGCTGATGAGCATGAGAAATGGGAAAGATTTGGCGACGAAGAGGTCAGAGAATTTTTGTCTCATTCAATACAAAACGAGCTCTGTTTCGTTTCAAAATGAATTCTGATTAAATCAAATGATTAAAAACAAGCTCTGATGCTCGGATTTATCTGAAATTCAACGTCTTTTACTCAAATTTTCTAGATCTTTCCTCGTTCGAATGGTTTCGGATCCGAAGTGCTACAATCCGAAAATCGTGCGCCATCTAAACATGGCAAACTATCGAAAGATGAGCCAAGATGTGGCCAGAGATAGGACGATTATGTAAAAGATTTGGGATAATGCTTTCTGATTTGTTTTGGCATTATAGCTTTGGCATTATAGCTTTGGCATTATAGCTTTGGCATTGTGGCTTTGGCATCATAGCTTTTTACCTAAGCAAGACCAGACCCAAGCTGGGCTCTGGTTCAAAGCTAGATCAGGACAATTCCACCCAAGACAGAACCAAGATCAGTGCCAGATCCAAGTCAGGTCCTGGTTTAGATCCAGACAAACAGCTCAGACAAGCACTGTTGACTTCTGGCGAGTCCAAGAACTTTGTGAGACAGGCTTGTGAGTAAGACTTGTGGGTCATATTTGTGAACCAGGCTTGTGGTTCACAAGGCTCCTAAGTCTGGTTCAGACTTATGAGCCAGGCTTGTAAGCCAGGCTTGTAAGCCAGGCTTGTAAGCCAGGCTTGTAAACCCGTCTTGTAAGCCAGTCTTTTAAGCCGAAGAAGAACCTTCAATAAAGCCAGGCCAGCATCTAAGCCAGGCGTGGAGTGATCTTGCTTTCATAAAATTGAATTCTAAATAAGCCTATTACTAGAGTAGTGTAAAGGAATCGTTTTTTTTTGTAAAGCTTAAAAGTTCAGGAAATCTATGTCGATGAACAAACGCCCAACGCGACTCTCCGGCAATTCGGCTTGCTCGTCGACGTCACCAAATGATAAAGGTATTTCGTTAATCAATTAATAATGACTTAAAGTTTTCATGTATTCTATCTATATCTATATATCATTTCCTTTTCCATGAACCTATTGGGAATCGGATGAGGAAGAAGAACAGCTCTGCCATGCTTTGGCAGCCACCGGAGTACAGACGCCAATTTGAAGCAAGCAAGCAAGCAAGCAATACTTTTAAAGATATTTTCTATTTCTATTTCGATTTTATGATCATTTTTATCATTGTAGTAGCTGTAGTTTTTTTTATTTTATTAGAATAAACACTGTCTTTAAGTCAAAAAAAAAGCAATTCAACGAACTCAAGAAATCTCAATCATCGACGTACTTTAAGCTCCTAGGAACGTGGTCGATTTGGCACAATGAAAAGCTTTGTGTACTTTGTACTTTAGTGTGTACTTTGTGCTCTGGAAAAGTGAGCACTCTGGCCCACTGAAGTCTTTTCAATGTGCTAGGAAGTGAGTGTTTAGTTGAGCACAAGTAAAGCTAGCGTCGCGTGCTTTGTGCTCTTGAAAACACGGATATCTGGCACACTGGATTTGTATTTGTTTAGTCGAAACAGTAAAAATATCATAAAATTTGATTGGAATCAATGGAAATCAATAAATGCAAGTGTGCCAAGAAGTAATTGTTTGTTAGAGAGCACAAAGTAAAGCCTAAATGCTCGAGTACTTTGTGGTCTTGAAAAGGTGAATCGTTTTGTGTATGGGATTTCTTTTGTCGAATACGAATCACTACAAATGACGAATAGAAGGCAATGAATGGAATGAATTAATGGAATGAATCAAAATCGTTAAAAGAATAAAATAAAGGGGGAAAGTTTGAGAGAGAAATGAGTAGAAATCGTTGAGAAATCGTTGGCGAGTCATTAAATTTTATGTTTATGATGAAAATGAAGAGAGAAAAGGTCTGGAAAACGTGGAAAACATGGAAAATCTGGAAAAGCTGAATTTACGATTATTTCCCCTCATTTCAGTCTGAATGGGAAACGATTAGAATGCGACAGCTCAGACAAATCAGACAGATCAGACAAATCAGACAGATCAGACAAATCAGACAGCTCAGACAAATCAGACAGCTCAGACAAACAGTGTTGACTTCTGGCGAGTCCAAGAACTTTGTGAGTCAGATTTGTGAGTCAGCTTTGTGAGTCAGCTTTGTGAGCCAGACTTTTAAGCCGAAGAAGAACCTTCAATAAAGCCAGGCCAGCTTTTAAGCCAGGTTTCTACGCCAGGCTTCTAAGCCAGTCTTTTAAGCCGAAGAAGAACCTTCAATAAAGCCAGGCCAGCATCTAAGCCAGGCATGGAGTGGTCTTGCTTTGATAAAATTGAATTCTAAATAAGCCTATTACTAGAGTAGTGTAAAGGAATCGTTTTTTTAAAGCTTAAAAGCGATCTTAAAAGCTTAAAAGGGGAAAGTTTGAGAGAGAAATGAGGGGAAATCGTTGAGAAATCGTTGAGAAATCATTTACGAGTCATTAAATTTTATGTTTATGATGAAAATGAAGAGAGAAAGAATGTGGAAAGCGTGGAAAATCTGGAAAATCTGGAAAAGCTGAATTTGCGATTATTTCCCCTCATTTAAGTCTAAATGAGAAACGATTAGAATACGAGAAAATCATGCTTAAAAGCCTTGAAAAGCTCGATCGTTCACTTGTACTTTGTTCCTCAATTCTACCCAGAAACAAACCCCCATCTAGTGCAATGAATTGTGAAATAATTCATTGAATTCTTCATCTTTCTCACTTTCTTTTCTGCTGAAAAAAGCAAGACTTTAAACTGCATTAGAAGCTTTTTGTTTACAAGAATTTATCGATCGTTTAGTTTGGACAAACCAGTTCCTTAACCAAGAGAAAAATGAAAGAGGAAGGGGAAGAAGAAAGGAAGAAAGAAAGGAAGAAAGGAAGAAAGAAAGAAAGGAAGAAGAAAGTATCCTTTTCTCTATTTTAGTGTTCTTTTTGAATTCATTGAATCGATCACAGAATCATCGTAATATCGCAGAATTAAAGCCTATAGATTGATTGAAAAAAATAGAGAAGAGGATACTTTCTTCCCTTCTTCCTTTCTTCCTTTCTTCCTTCCTTTCTTCCTTCTTTTCTTCCTTTCTTCCTTTCTTCTTCCCCTTCCTCTTTCATTTTTCTCTTGGTTAGGAACTGATTTGTCCAATTCCTTGGAAGGAAGAAGAAAGTATCCTTTTCTCTATTTTAGTGTTGTCCAATTCCTTGGAAAGTGGTTGAAAGGTTAACTCTTTCAAGAGTGGTTTGTCCAATTCCATTTGGAAAGTCAAACGTCGAGCGTTCATTCCACTCTCCGAAAATCCTTCTCTTCCTTGTATTCCCTTCTTTCTCTTGAAAAACTGAGTCCAGATCGATGAATGTTAGAAGAGGGAAGCAAAAGGTCAAGAATTCAATCCTTGGATCCAGATTGGAATCGTATTGGAACCGTATTAGATGAGAATAGGAACCGTATTGGAACCTCTCTAGATCTTTTCTTTATTGTAGACTTAAGCAATCAATAACAAATCAAATCTAAAGTCTCATTGGTCTTTTGGTTCTTGTTGTAGTCTCGTGTAGTCGTTGTAGTCTTTTCTATGGTACAATGCAACTCAACTTTTCTAGTGCACTCAATTTTATCTTTTCTTATGCATGCTTTCTTATTTTTCCAATTCCTTGGAAAGTGGTTGAAAGGTTAACTCTTTCAAGAGTGGTTTATCCAATTCCTTGGAAAGTCAAACCAGCGTCAAGTCAAGTCGAGCGTTCAATTCACTCTCCGAAAATCCTTTTCTTCCCAATTCCCTTCTTACCATTCATTTCTTTATTACAATTCAGTGAAAAGTTTTAAAAACTCACTCTTTCTCGAGAGACTCAACTTCTAGTTACTAAAAAATGAAAGAGTTGACCGTGATAACAATTGTTTCAATCACTGTCATCTATCTTTCCTCAATGATCGCACTGGGTCGAATTCTTCTCGATTTTAAGCATTTCCATACCAACAGCCTCTCGAATTTCGCAGATTTTCAGGTAAATTGCAAATTTTTTCGACTTTCTTCAGTTTTTTTTCTTTAATTAGAAATCTCGTCGGCCTTTAAACTTCCTTTAAAAATAAAGAAGCTTTCAAATAAGTTATGGCTTAAAAGGTAAGTAAACAAGCAAAAGTAGAGCAAGAGTAGGCATACCCTAACCTTGGCGGCAATTGGATACGTGTCGATGTAGCGCATTGGTCGAGCGTTCGCCCGGTAAACGAGAGTTGGCGGGCTCCAACTAGACATGGGCACTGCAAACTATTGTCATAACACAGACACAATTGTAAGGCAAACAGACAGCTTTTCTCTGAATCTTTTGATTGATTGGTCTTTCAGACCGACAGCAGCCTATTCTAGCTATAGACTAAACAACACTACAAACTACAAACATAAACTACAAACGTAAACTAAAAACGCTTCGAATTTGCTTCAAATTGGCCGGACGGACAGGATCTATAGCTCAAAAAATAGAGAAACTCAAGAGCTTTCGAATGGATTGAAGAACACTCAAAAATAATAGCGCTAAAGAAAGTTACAGTGGTTTGTAGCCTAACTCGATCGCTTCGACTACGCTCCAGTACAATCCGATCGCTTTGACTACGCTCCAGTACGGCCCGTTTCGAGGCAGGACTACAAACCATTGTAACTTTCTTTAGCATTAATATTTTGGGTGTGCTTTAATCCATTCAAAAGCTCTTGAGATTCTCGATTTTTTGAACTATAGATCACTTCAATCCGGCAGATTTGCTGCAAATTCGAAGCGTTTGTAGTGTGAGAGTTCGTCATTTTTGCAGCTTATAGTGTCCATGCCTAGTTTGAATCCCGGCGCCGACCATGTTTTGTATTCCCAGTCCCAGCCTATAAAGGATCGACGTGTCCAAGTACACGAGTGCATTCGAATGAAAGGCTAATTATTTTTTTAGAAATACGCAAAGCAAGCCTGGGATGAGATGATCGAAATCGAACGGGAAGCGCCAAAAGAGAAACGACAAACGAATCCGTATCGGAAAAGACGATGCGCCTGTGGAAATGTTTCAGAGTTATCCCCAGCTGGACGTATGTTATTTTAAGAATCTGTATGCCCTTCAAAACTCTAGATGTATTCTAAAATTGTTAGCTTTTTTAGCTTTCGCTTTTTTAGCTTGTTTTATCGACTAAATAATTGGATTATGCTAATTTTTACTGTAAAATCGAATTAAAACAATCAAAACAATCAAAACAAAACAAAATGCGAAAGTGAAAGCTGAATGCAGAGGTAAATGCTAAATAAACTTTGCAAAAACTTGATAAAATCTGTATTTCAAATAGAAATCAATAGAAATCAATAGAAAAAAAGAAATTAAAAGAAATTAAAAGAAATTAAAAGAAATTTTAAAAAATTAAAACAAATTAAAAGAAATTAAAACAAATTAAAACGAATTAAAACAAATTAAAACAAATTAAAACAAATTAAAAGAAATTAAAACGAATTAAAACAAATTAAAACAAATTAAAGCAAATTAAAGCAAATTTCCAATCCCTTTCTAGCCCCGGGACCTCAGGGTGAGCCGGGTGAGTCGGGTTTGGACGGATATCCCGGTCAACATGGACACAATGGATCACCGGGTAGACAAGCGGCAAGAGGATCGCTCCATGCACAAGTATTATCTAGATATTTCTAAATATTTTACATTCTCTATATATATTTCATTCTTGGCAGCATTTTTGAACTCAAATTATTGGGTTGGTGAATTGAAAACTGCCGGACTTTGAACTAAAATTTATTCAACATAAAACCATCAGTTCATTCCAAATAATTTCCATTATTATTGACGACTTCTGCCCATTTTACAGGCAATTTGCGGATTTGCGGATTCCTCTTTCGTAGTAGGATTTTGGTTTGTGTGTGAGACAAGTGTGAGACTCAAAAATGGAGGACTGGAGATGTCCCAGTAGCACTTTTGAGCACTTTCTTCAAAAGAAACCCATTTTGGTGTCAATAGAAAAGTTGTAGAGAATCAAAAATGAGGCTTATAGCCAAATTTCCAAAAAGATACACTTAGTAGTTTCGCTTAAAATGCAAGTTTTGTGAAAATTCGTAACATTTGGCATTTCTTGAAAACCAGTTTTTGAATCGTTCTGAAAATTTGGATATAAGCTTGATTTTTGATTCTCTACAACTTTTGCATTGACACCAAAATGGGTTTCTTTTGAAGAACAGTGCTCAAACTGTCACATATTACAATAGCCCGCAGTTTTCAATTCACCAACCCAATAGATTGAGATTAACCTTGATTTGAGGAGAAGTCCAATTTGAGGAGAAGTCCAATTCGAGGATTCGGAGCAGGCCAGATAAATAGATCGGACCCGGCTAGATAGATTGGAGCAGGCTAGATTGAGATTAACCTTGATTTGAGGAGAAGTCCAATTTGAGGATTCGGAGCAGGCCAGATAAATTTTGGCAAAGGGAGAGGGAAGGGGCTTATGTAAAAGCCCTGCGTCAGACGACGAGCGATTACGCGGCCGCACAAAGAACACAGAGAACACACAAATTTTAAGCTAAACTACTAAGTGTATCTTTTTGGAAATTTGGTTATAAGCTTGATTTTTGATTCTCTACAACTTTTCCATTGACACCAAAATGGGTTTCTTTTTAAGAAAGTGCTCAAACTGCAATAGCCGGCAATTTTCAATTCACCAGCCCAATATTTCAAAACAAAACGACTGCATCCAAACCATTTTGAATAGAATGCAAATAAATGCAATAAATGAGCTTTTTGTTGAATTGCCTGTGCTTAAGATGATGAAAATGCCCAGTTTTAGCTATGATAAGCAAAGAAATAAGTATAATAAATGGAACGGCGGATTGGAATTTCTCGAGTTGTTTTGAAGGAGTGATTCAATTTTCTTAAAGAAAAGCGAACAGCCGCTTCAAACAAATTTCTTTCAACTCAACCACCATTTATGAAATAGCCTTATAGATTAGAACACAATATATAATTTTTTTTAATATATATTATATCAAATTTCAGTGTATCCCTTGCCCGATTGGAGCCGCTGGGCCGGCTGGACCGGCTGGAGACCCGGGTCCACAAGGGATTGACGGAAATCCTGGATACGATGGCGTGCCCGGAGTTGATGGAGACGTAAATTAACTATTAGATATTAGATATTAGAAATCTATTAGCTTAGAATCTTATTTTAATCTAGATGGATATACTGGGTGCGTAAAAAGTTCCCGGAATCGATATTTTGAGTAGAGCGGTAGAGCGATCAGTGAAGCTGTGGGCTTTGGATCTTGTATGGATATTTGTGAAGCTTCTTGGCTTGGCGATTTATAAATTCTTCAAACAATCGAACGAACAGACCCTTTGGAAATTAGCAATCGCTTCTTCTCAGGCCATTTGCCGAATCGATCTTGGGTTCCTTTTCGGATTCGTTTCACAATTCAGAGGGGTGGTTGTTTTTGGGCGTCAGAAATGTTGGCGATCGTTTGCCAAACCGGTAAGCTTGGTCAAGTAAACGTAAACAGTGCTTTTTGGAATGGTGAATTGTTCAGCAATTGTACAGCGATTGTTCAGCGATTGCTCGGCGATTGTTCAGCAATTGTACAGCGATTGTTCAGCGATTGTTCAGCGATTGTTCAGCGATTGTTCAGCGATTGTTCAGCGATTGTTCAGCGATTGTTCAGCGATTGTTCAGCGATTGTTCAGCGATTGTTCAGCGATTGCACAGCGATTGTACAGCGATTGTTCAGCGATTGTTCAGCGATTGTTCAGCGATTGTTCAGCGATTGTCCAGAGATTGTCCAGCGACACCGAACTTCGATCAACGCTCAATGGCTGATCAAAGACTCTTCGCGCGAGCCATCTAAATCTTAAGAATATCTTAAGAAAGAAAGTAATAACCTAAAACATAAAACTCAGCAAAAACAAAATAATTATTCAAAAGAACAAAGTAATCTGGTCAGCAAACTAAAAGATACGAAAAGATCGCTTAAAAAAACATGCCAAATGAATTCCCGGAACTTTTTACGCAATGAGCTCCAGTTTTAGAAGAAATTTGGCTCATTTTTGAGCTATCTTATCTGTAAAACTGCTGTAAATAGCTTGCAACTATAATTTCTAAATTCAAGTTTGGTTTCGATGGAGAAATGGGTGAAACAGGAGCCCGAGGCGAGCGCGGACATCATGGTCCGCCTGGTTCACCCGGCAAAAAAGCTATGCAACAAGTCGCTCAATCTGGCCCACAAGGACCACCTGGAAAACCTGGTACAATTCACAGTATACAGTACTCTATCGTTGTTTAAACCTTGTCCTGTAGCAGTTAGGACTTATAGCATACAGTATGCTTGGCTTTTGTCTCAATCCTTTTTTAGGAGTCCCAGGGAAAGCAGGCCAACCAGGACCCAATGGAGAACAAGGATTGGATGGCGTTCAGGTAAAGGAAAAGATTACTTTAAAGACTGAGTAACTTTTTTAATGGAAAATTTTTACACATCCAGGGTTCAATGGGGTATGCTGGACTTGGAGGAATCGCTGGCAATGATGGACAATCCGGAGAGCCTGGACAAGACGGGGCACCAGGTAAAGGATCTATGCTAAAACGTATCCCAACTACTGTTTGGCTGCTGTTTCAGTGAAACAATCGTTTAACAAGGTGTAGAATTTGTAGCGAAAATATAGCCAAATTCAAGGCAAAAATTGGGGCATAGTGAGGCCAAAAATGGCAAAAGCGGCCTCTCATAATTCCTCTGTCATCAATTCGTTTCAAAATCCTTTCCAAGTCACGTAAAATCAAAGTGATCGTGTCATAGGAGAGATGGAATTCGTCGGCCATTTGAGATAAGGACGCTAAAAGGGAAGCACCTTCTACTAGGGCGATTTGCCAGGTGTCTAGCGATTGTACGCGCGCACAAAGAACACCGCGCCACTTATTTATACAGCGATTTCACATTGAGATCTTTGCGGACCATATGAGATATCGAGACGAAAAGAGAAGCACCTTGTACTGGGGCGGTTTGCCAGATGGTTAGCGATTGTGCGCGCGCGCAAAGAACACTGCGCCACCGATTTATACAGCGATTTGGCTTTGAGATTTTCGTAGGATTTTATGGTTTAATCAACTTCTATTTTACATCATAGATGGATATATTATGGCCACTACGATCTATGGAAAGTAGAAAACAAAACCAAATAGTCTTTGATACGATTTCCATCTTCAACTTATCCGTTTTCCACCTTCAACTTATCCTTTTTCTACTTTCCATTCCCGATTTCACTTTTCGATTTCTTAAATGTTTTTTTTCTTTTCTTTTCCCCCCTAATGCCCTTGGGAAAACTGATTCAAAAGGATATCTTTGGAAACAAATCTTCTTTTGTTTGAAGGTTTTTCTTTAAAACAAATCCTTTCTGACTTTGTCTCGAGAAAAAAAACAAGGTGTGACTGACGTTTTTGTTTTTTTTTTTATGTTGACAGAAGAACCGTTAAAGATCACTGAGTCAAAAAGATGATTCAAAAAACAAACGTCAGTCACAACTTGTTTTTTTTTCTCGAGACAAAGTCAGAAAGGATTTGTTTTGGAAGAAAAACCGATATCCTTTTGAAAAAGGAAATTGTGAGAAGAAAAAAACTGACCTCTTGTTACCTTTTTTTAGGTAAAATTTTCAAGGTAAAAACAACCGTTTACAGGATTTTCTGGATCAAATTGCTTAGCTTGTTCTAAAATTTTTTTAAGAACATCTTCTATACTTTTATTTATTGTAAAGTTTCAAATTTTAGTGATTCAAGATAAATGTGTTAGTACATAATGCAATAATAATCCGTTTTATAAGATATTCTATAGGGTATTCTATAGGGTATTCTATAGGGTATTCTATAGGATATTCTATAGGATATTCTATAGGATATTCTATAGGATATTCTATAGGATATTCTATAAGATATTCTATAGGATATTCTATAAGTTATTCTATAGGATATTCTATAGGATATTCTATAAGATATTCTATAAGATATTCTATAAGTTATTCTATAAGATAGTCTATAGGATATTCTATAGGGTATTCTATAGGATATTCTATAGGATATTCTATAGGATATTCTATAGGGTATTCTATAAGTTATTCTATAGGGTATTCTATAGGATATTCTATAAGATAGTCTATAAGATAGTCTATAAGATAGCCTATAAGATAGTCTATAAGCCTTTCTATAAGCTTTTCTATAAGTTTTTCTATAAAACAATTATCGTTAAATTATTTGATGAATGTACTGAATGAAATAGTGTTCTTCTAGGCTTTGACGGTGACTATTGCCCTTGTCCGATTCGTTCATCGAAACTCTCTGGCGATAGTGGACGCGAGATTCGACGAAAATTCCAACAGATTCTTTTTAGTGATCCTTACTAAAAAATTTGGAATAAATTTTTAGAATTCAGTAGATTATATGCTACTTGATTACACGACACGTTCTCCCAATTTGCATTTCTAAATTTGCATGTAATTTAAGAGCAACAAACGCAGGGGGTATATCAAAAAACGCTGTTCAAAAGAGCGCCGTTTAAAAGAGCGCCGTTCAAAAGAGCGCCGTTTAAAAGAGCGCCGTTTAAAAGAGCGCCGGTCAAAAGGGCACCGCTCAAAGAAGCGCCGCTTAAAAGAGCGCCGTTTAAAAGAGCGCCGGTCAAAAGGGCGCCGCTCAAAGGAGCGCCGTTTAAAAGAGCGCCGTTTAAAAGAGCGCCGTTTAAAAGAGCGCCGTTTAAAAGAGCGCTGTTCAAAAGAGCGCCGTTTAAAAGAGCGCCGTTCAAAAGAGCGCCGTTTAAAAGAGCGCCGTTTAAAAGAGCGCCGGTCAAAAGGGCACCGCTCAAAGAAGCGCCGCTTAAAAGAGCGCCGTTTAAAAGAGCGCCGTTCAAAAGAGCGCCGTTTAAAAGAGCGCCGTTTAAAAGAGCGCCGGTCAAAAGGGCGCCGCTCAAAGGAGCGCCGTTTAAAAGAGCGCCGTTCAAAGGAGCGCCGTTTAAAAGAGCGCCGGTCAAAAGGGTGCCGCTCAAAGGAGCGCCGTTTAAAAGAGCGCTGTTCAAAGGAGCGCCGTTTAAAAGAGCGCCGGTCAAAAGGGCGCCGCTCAAAGGAGCGCCGTTTAAAAGAGCGCCGTTCAAAGGAGCGCCGTTCAAAAGAGCGCCGTTTAAAAGAGCGCCGTTCAAAAGAGCGCCGTTTAAAAGAGCGCCGTTTAAAAGAGCGCCGGTCAAAAGGGCACCGCTCAAAAGAAGCGCCGTCTAAAAGAGCGCCGTTTAAAAGAGCGCCGGTCAAAAGGGCGCCGCTCAAAGGAGCGCCGTTTAAAAGAGCGCCGTTTAAAAGAGCGCCGTTTAAAAGAGCGCCGGTCAAAAGGGCACTGTTCAAAAGGGCGCCGTTTAAAAGCGTGCCATTCAAAAGGGCGCCATCCAAAAGGGCGCTGTTCAAAAGAGTGCCGTTTAAAAGAACTCATTATAAATATTTGGATTTTTAAAGAAAAAAGTATCAATACAGGAGTTTTAAAGAAAAAAACAAGAAAAAAAAGAGGTTAAAACGCAGTTAGTAATTGAATTTAATAAGACTTAGCGCTCTTTTGAGCATTTTTGCATTGGCGCTCTTTTAAACGGCGCTCTTTTAAACGGCGCTCTTTTAAACGGCGCTCTTTTAAACGGCGCTCTTTTAAACGGCGCTCCTTTGAACAGCGCTCTTTTAAACGGCGCTCTACGACCATTCCCCTTCCCCTAATCTAATTCTTGCTGTTTTTTTTTCAACATTTAGCATTTAGTTGACAGTTAAAGTCCTTGAAAAGTCTCTGGAGTCATTTCGCTTTCACTTTTCTAAAAGAAAACAAAGTGTCAAAGCTGAAAAAAAAGGGGTAGAAGGTCAAGAAAAAACAATGAGAATGAATTGAGCAAAACAAAAAAAAAAAAAGGCGAGCACGATAGACATCTTTGAAAGAAAAGAAAAAGAAGAAAAATAAGCGAAAAAGCGAAATCCAGTCTATTGTCTTCTTTTTCTAATCATGCACTCATTGTTTCCGAGAAAATTTTGCTTTAGGAGTGAAAAAGTGGGAAAGTTTTTGGAAAGGCTTGCTCCGAGAAAAGTGATCAAGTTTTCCCACCAAAAAAACCTACCAAAAACCCACCAAAAACCCACCAAAAAACCTTTACGATTTCTCTTATTAATGCCAAGATTTCTTTGAAAGAACTTGATAATTAATTGGTTCAAAATCAAGTGAAAAAAATGAAAATTTGACATAAAAAATGGTTATCGAAAGGTTACTCTTTTAAACGGCGCTTTTAAACGTCGGTTCTGTTAAGTTTAAGAGAGTTTTGAAGTTTTTTAGACAAACTTTTAGACAATTTTAGACAAACTATCGTAATTTTACCGCAAGTTTTCATTTGATTAGTCTAAAATTTTGATTGATGATGATGATTGACTAACAAGAGAACAATAATGGTCTGACTAGGGAAAGGCATCAACTTTTTGTGAGCTTTCGTTCCTGGATTATATACATGGGAAATCGATCACATTACGGTTTAACACTTCCTGCTTACTAGGGAAAGGCAAAAACTTTTTGTGAGCTTTCGTTCCTGGATTATATACATGGGAAATCGATCACATTACGGTTTAACACTTTCTGCTTACTAGGGTAAAGGCAAAAACTTTTTGTGAGCTTTGGTTCTTGGATTATATACATGGGAAATCGATCACATTACGATTTAGCACTTCCTGCTTACTAGGGTAAAGGCAAAAAATTTTTGTGAGCTTTCGTTCTTGGATTATATACATGGGAAATCGATCACATTACGGTTTAGCACTTTCTGCTTACTAGGGTAAAGGCAAAAAATTTTTATGAGCTTCCGGCTTACATTAATCTTACAAAATCGAGTATGGAGATTGATAATCTGAAATCAAAAGCTGTCAAATAAAGCTTGTAAAAGTAAGATAAAAGGATTTAAAACTACTGTAAACATTGCCTGTAACTGTAAGCAACTAGGGTAAAGGAATGAGCTTTTTGTGAGCTTCCGAATTACATAAATCTTGCAAAATCGAGTATAGAGATTCATAATCTGAAATCAATATCTTCTAAATATGCTTGCAAACGCGTAAAGATTAAATTGAAATTTCGAACTTTCAAGAACTTTTAAGGATTGAAGAAAATAGAATTTAAGCTTTAAAGAGCGCTCTTCAATCACTGGGAGAAAGGCACTGATGGCCTAGTGGATAGCGGAACGACCTCTAGGTCGGAGGGTCCGGGTTCGATCCCCCTCTTCGCTTTTTAGTTTTTTTTTCTTTAAATTTAATACTTTACCTTGTAACTATTCAAGAAAAAGGTGAAATGTTAACATATGTTATTAGGTTGATGCATAATTGTTTTCGTTTTTTTCGTACTTCTGTTAAAAAGTAACAAATTCACCAATTAATCTATAGTTTGCTCTATAAAAAAAGTGTTTTTTTGTTCAATTTGCATCTTTTTAAATGAATTTCGGTTCACTTTCAAGCAAATTCGAGAGTGAAAAACGCCTTTTTCGTAAAAATCTATAAAAAACTCTACGGAAAAATTGGCTCAATGAATTTCTCTGAAATTTTGGCGAAATATCAAACGTTTTGTTTTCTCTATCTTTTATCTATTGACACGAAGATAGGTTTTCTTTAGCTAAGGTGTCTAAACCGCATCATCGAGTTAGCCCTTTTTGACTACCCGACTTCATACTCTCAAGAAAATCCAGGCATTCAATATTTTTAAACCCGTTTTAATGTTATTTTGCAGAAAAATAATTGCTTTTTCTAATGAAATCAACCGTAGTTTAATTCGTGCATTTGTTGGCTTGAAACGGCAGACGAAAAGGAACGAAAACACTTATGCATCAACCTATTAAAACATATGTTAAACGAGGTCACGAAGCATCCAAGATTTCACAGCCTGATAAAAGCAAAGACGAAGTGCGTACTTTTTTACAAATTATTGGGTTGGGGAGAATGAGTCGGCGCCGAAAATCAAAAAAATGTCTAAAACTTCTATTCGACTTCGTCAAATAATATGCCTTTGATATCAGTCGAATGGTTATCTAATTCTCTACAAAATGTCATTTAAAAGAAAATTCAAACAGCGCCTCCGCTCAAGAAAAAGCCATTTTTTCACAAAAACTACAAACTGTGATCTAGAAAAAACCATTGGTGGGATCTTCCTGCAAATTTGGCAACTTAAGTAATTGAATGTGCTCTATCTTTTTTATATAAACACCAAAGAAGGTTTATGTGAAAGAAACTGTTCAAATGATGAGTCGGACTCTTTGCCATTTTAACCAGCTGCGTTTGGAAGTTCATAAACTCCACGAAAGAAAAGCTTTGTGGAATCTCTCAAAAGTGATTTTGTAGAGAAATAGTGGATCCTTTTGATGAAACCAAACGTATGTTTAAAGAAGGCTTTATGTGTGCAAAAAGTCCCTTTAAAGTTCGGCGCCGACTCATTCTCCCCAACCCGATACATCACAGTGAGTAATGAACGGATAAAAATCTGTAAAGTATTGCATTTAAAGAAAAAAAAACAAAAACCAAAAGCAAACCGCAAACCTTATCCACCAGGCCATCGGTGCGTATACCCTGTATATCGAAAAGCACCCTTTAATCGATACAATGAACTTAAAACGTGCCCTAGATGACCACTGATTGCATTTGACTGGGGCAGAAATTTTGATCACGTTTCAGAATTTCAAATTTTTTGTATCGAAGTTTGTTATATCGAAGTTCGATTGTATTTTGAAAAAGCGGTGAAAGTGGAAAAGTTTAAAGGTTTTTGAAGTGACGAATTTCGGCTAAACGCGAAAATTCGCCTCTCAAACTTCCTTTAGTTATTGACATTGAGATTTGTACTAAATTAGCAAACTCTCGTAAATTTTCCAGCAATTAAACTATGCATCGGCTAAAGTCGATTCCTGAACGGCTAAACGCTGGGTTTAACAGTTGATAGAGAAAAATCTGTCATTGTTGAGCGCTGTTGAGCGCTGCTGAGCCTGTGAGCGCTGTTGAGACGTTGAGCGCTGTGGCGCTGTTGGCTGTTGAGCGCTGTTGAGCGCTGTTGAGCGCTGTTGAGTTCACACTTTGTAAATTGAGACTTGTTTTTTGGTTCTATTCTGTTCTTTTCTATTTAAATGTTCTGTTTCAAGCTAAGAAGTTGGCAGTCAAGTGGCGATGAATCTTTTGACTGAAAGAGTTTCGATCTCTTCTTCGAGACTCTCGATAGATTTGTTCATTGTGTCGAGGTCATCTCCTCCTCTTCCTTCCTTTTCTCAGTTTCTCCTTGGATCTCCCGTTTCACTCCCCTTTCACTATAAATAGAAAGAAAATGAGGAAAGTTTGAGTGGCAAAGTTCACATTTTGAATCACCCACACCAAAGATG